ACTTTGTAGCAGTTCAGGAATGGCATCCCTATCAGGGCATCGTATTTGGCCAGGTTTCCGACTAGCATTTCCTGAGTGAGTAGGATGGCAGAGCCAAGCTGGATAGTTGCGCTACAAGTTTTATGGCTTGTGGATTATGAACCTTTTACTGCCATATTGACAGGTATAGGTTGGTTAAGGTCTCGAGTTGGGAGTCCGTGGACAGATACAAAGGCATTGTTGATCATGTCTCTTCCAATCGCACCAGTGTCGAATTGGATGCAAGCCTTCTTGCCATTAATCAGAATAGTACCTTCTAGGGTGCTGTGTACTTTAAATATAGCCGGAGGTCAGACACTATTGCACTCCACATCGATATAACCAATATGGATCTCCTCATATTCACTGGATTGGGCATCATCACTGTCGCCCTCAATATTGTTAGCCGATGTCTCTTGCTTAATCACTTTTCCTTTCCCTTTCTTCATAGGGCAGTTTCTTGCCATGTGTCCTGTTTTTCCATATTCAAAGCATTCTCCTTTCTGTCGCCTAGATTCTTTGGAGGATTTTGTTTTCTTTTTGAAAACCCGTGGGGGATCTTCTTCATGGTTGCTGGAGGGCTTGTATCGTGGTTGTCTGTTATTACTAGAGGATGTCTGTATTTTGTATGCCTTGGTTTCATGGAGGATGGCATCCTTTCATTCTACTCTTGTGATTATTTCTGCCATACTATTGTATATTTCCTCAAGTAGTTCTACCTCTCACCGGAGGGTAGGATGCATGGCATCATAGAATCGTCGCTTAAGGATGTAGCTGGAGATGCTTCCTTTCTTCATTCGGTCTTTATACATCATTAGATCCGTAGCTACATCTGCGATTCTCTTGACATGCATTCCATTAACTTGGTGGAGCTGGTTGAATTGGTTGTATAGGAGGTCATAGGTGATAGAGGATTGGAATCAGCCTTTCAGGTAATCGAGAATAGTGGATCCTCTTAATCTTACATTTCCGCTGTATTCCTTGTAGCATTGGTGGTATGCGTCAGTTGCCTTTCCTTCGCAAAATGATCCAATGAAGAGTCTGGTTATAGGGTCTTCCACATCTTTCCCTTGTAGGAGAAGGTAGTGTGTGAGTTCGGTTGCCCATCAATCAAAAGCTTCTGGTTTGAGGTCCTTTCCTTCTCCTGTAAACTTCGCTAGGAGGTGGAGTTTGAACTTAGTGGGTTCAAATATCACGGGTACTTCCTCTTCTTCAAGCCGAGCCCAAGATTTTCCTCCTCCTGAAGGCCCTCCTCCTGTACTAGCCATATCTGATTCGCTACTGGATTCGGGGTCAATGGAAGGTTCAAAGGAAGGCCTCTTTGCTAGAATTGAAGGGAATTCTCCTGGAGGTCATGTATCTTTCTTGTTTGCAGGTTCTCCCGGCTCCTTAACAGAGCGTCAGGTTTGTTTCTTTCTTGTAAGGTCTTGTCGTGGGATCTACTTCCCACTTCTGGTCGTTAATGACTCGATGTTAGTTTTGAGATGAAGCCAAATGTGCTGTAATTCTGCCGCTTCTCTCCGCTAGCGTTCTGAGGTGGATGTCAATAGGTTGATCAGGCCTAAATCCAGAGACAGGTTCTTAACCACTTGCTGAGGTTAAAAAAATGTAACCTGTTCGCAAGGTGCTAATCACGTTATCGGTAACAGATATGATAGTTGGCAAATGGCCTGCTCTTCCAGAGAGGAGGCGAGAGCTGAGAACTAGAGGAGGCTTCAAGGGTGTACTGAGGAACAAAGAAGTAACCATTCAACCAAGTATATTGAAAATACCGCCTGTCGAAGTCTGCCTTTTCTATCGTAGAAACAGGCGGTCTTTAAATACACAAATCTTGTTCATGCCTAGCATGAACAAAACTAATCAAAGGTATCAATCGGTATATTTTGGTAAAATTAATTAAGTATCAAAGCGATACTTAAAACAAACTAAGTATCAATGCGATACTTAAAACAAAACATAAAACAAAACCAATAACCGAGTACCGGTACCAGTTATAATTATAGTCACAGGATACAATTAAGATAGGTATATGTGATGATGTGCAGGCACTTAAGAGGGCTGGGGGGGGGTGTTGGAGACCAGAGATTCCAATTCCGAGTTGAGTTACCCTACATAGGGTAGTTTCTATGTATCGGATCCTGGTATTTCTAATAATTACTTCTTACTAGTAGTAATTTATGATAATTGTATAATAATATAGATCTTAATAGAAAAAGCAAAAGTATTACAAAATTAAGTTGTTCTCTCATACTTGGTTTTTTCTTTACATGTATTACATTTATAACTTGCAAGTAATAGTTAAGAGATACTGGTTTACTTTATTATTTACATGATACTACAACTTATCAGCTATCCCCACATACCCTGACCCAAATTTCCAACGTGGCAATACAAGATTAGAATAATAATAACAGCAAAGATTTCCAATACTACAGAGTTTGATGTTTTATCCCTCTAATACTACAGGGCCCTCCAACGCCACAAGATCTTAATAAGATTGAACACTGATCTGATTGTACTAAAATATAGAAGAGGGATTTATTTTTCTGTAGCGTAAATGCTAGCCAATCAGCAGACCATTATGACAACAACTACACCCTCCATCACATTACTATCCAGAGTCAAATCCTAGCATGCTGGTTGGTGCATTACCGCATTTGCCTCATATTCACAGTCTGCTGTAAAGGCTCTATTACCTAAAATGTCTGCTCTCACATAACTCCCAGTGTCACCGGCACTAGGGCAATTATTCCATATGTTTACCCCAAGGAGTTAGTTGATGATTGGTCAGTAAAGTAAAACTTTTTATTCAAGGTTGCCAATAATGATCATGAGTGGATAATCTATTCTTGTGTGGCTCTTAACTGTGAATAGTGCATGAGGGCAAACCAAACTGCAGAGCATGATGTTAAAATTACCGTGCTAAATTCTGATCATACTTACCTTTCAGGAGATAGAATAAAACACTATTCAGTCTCAAGCTCTCTTAGCTGGTTACCCCAACACCTTCTACAATATCTTAATGTTACACAGATAACCAAACTAAGGGAAATTATTGACTACCTTCAAGTCCAACTTGGTGAGACTCTATCCTATAAGTCTGCTAGCGGGATTAAAAATGTGCTATTAGAGAACACTCTAGAAGGGTAAAAAGATGGATTCCATCTCCTTTACAGCTATCTGACTGCAATTCAATAGTCCAATCCTGCTATGTATCTTTGCCCATCTAGCAATCACAATATCGACCGCTTCCAATTACTCTTTCTCTCCCTAGCTAAATCTCAGAAGTCTTTCCGGCACTGCAGGTATTTTATTACTGAAGATAGGACATTTCTGAAAACTAAATTCATTCAAACTCTTCTTCTAGCAGTCACTATAGATGCCAATGGCCATTCATTACTCCTTGCCTGAGCTGTAGTTGAAAGTGAAAATGCTTCTTCTGGGGAGTATTTTCTTTTGAACTTACAATTAGCAATACCAGAAACTACCACAAAACCTACCACCCTTATCAGCAATAGAGAGGAAGGACTTTTTACAACTTCTGATGTCTTATCACCTACTGTTATTCATGCCTTCTTCTGCCAGCATCTAAAGGAAAACTTTATTACATGCTATGAGAGAAGTTTAGCTTCCAACTTTTAGGCAATTGCCTGAGCCTGCAGTATTGCCAAGTATGAGTCCACCATGCATAAACCCTAAAAAATCAAGCCCTCAGCTGCAGAATATTTTCAAATTATTAATCCTACTCTTTGGGCATATATTTTCTTTTCTGATAGGTGATATAGTCATAATACCTCCAATATTGTAGAATCTGTCAACTTTGTACTGAAGTTATACCATGAGATGTTTATTGTGGAGCTTCTGAACTCTATTTGGTATAAGCTTATGGGGCTAAGATTTGATCGCTATCAATTTGCTTCCAGTTCAGCTGTGGGAGTTCCTTATACAACATTTTATATCAAAGCTTTAGGAGAGAGTAGGATATAGGCTCAGCAAAATATTGCTAGAATAACTAATCTTATTTACAGTCATGTTACTCAGCCCAATAGTATGTTCAAAATAGTCAACCTGGAGATGACTACTTGCTCCTGTAGTAACTATCAAGAAAATGGCATCTCATATGGGCATGCACTTACTTGCATTATGAGTCTTCACTTGGTATGCGGTCCTATTTCTTAATACTTTTTCATAAGTTAATACAGAACTCTCTAGCCAATTCAGAATTATTTACTAAAAATTCTATCAATTGCCACCTGGAAAGCAACCTATGAGACAAATATTCTACCAGTAGATATCTCAAACTTGGAACCTAATCCTCTACTACCGCCCCAGGTACCAGTTCCAGGGATAATTCCTATTGCTAATCATGTTGAACCTCCACTTACTCGCTCACCCCAGGGACTTCCACACAAAGAAAGAATACGAGTAGGAGAGATATGACAATGGCAGCTTTTGGGAAATCTTATTGATCTAGAGTTTCCAGCCTGTTCCTGGCCTTGATGTTCAACGTGCAGGGGAACTGGTCACAATTCTGCTACCTGTCGCTAACTACACTCTTAGGGACTTTCAAGGGAAGGCGATTGCCCCTGCAGATACTGTCATCTAAAGGAACAGCCCCATTTTTGCCAAACAGGCTCTGAGTCTTAGCAGTAATCTTTGTATTTTCTATACCTACTTTCTTGTATCTTAGATTTAGCACTATAGGAAGAAAAAAAAAACCCCCGCACTATATTTCACTATCAGATCAGCGTTCAATCTTATAAGATCTTGTAGCATTAGAGACCTTTGCCGTAATAATAATCATTTTTATGCATAATAATAATTATTATTATCATAATATTATTATGGGAGCGAGAGTACCGGTAGACGCTTTAGGGTTAGGTGCCGATCATCGCACAAATGCAATATGGTAGACATAATTTAAGGTTCAATCCAGCTGAACGCCAAGGCGGAAGGCACAAACAGATTACCAACTTGTGTCCCACCACCAGCAAGCAAGCTTAACTCTGCATCACAGACTGACTGACTCCATGGGCAGAATTCCCAACGACAGACTACGAATCGCCCAATCTCCGCCAGAGATGCACAGTACGCAGCCAGCTCCCTCGCGGCGCTCGACATCTCCGAGCTCCACACATTCACAGAACTTCAGCAACACTTACATCCAGCGATCACGACCGTATCTGACGGATCAGCAGATCGAAGAACGCTCACGAAGGGACTCGCAGACGGAGGCAAAAGAAACTAGCACACGGCTAAATGCCTGCGCCTGGATCATGCAACTTGGTCATGCCCTACAGTTGTAGGTTTTTTTTTTTTCCTCCCGCTCGCTCTCGGCGCTCCCGGCAAACAATGTCAACAACTAACGGCTGCTGGTTGCGGCCGGTGATCGCAGTCCCATTCGAACAATGGCTACAGCTATGATACTGTACCATCGGTCGCGGTTATTTTCCCGGAATCCCTACTCTGAGCAGCAGTACGTGGTATGTATTTAGCTCCGAGATTGTAGCGGGGTGGGTTCACGAGTTCTGATTATTAAAAAAAAAAACCCCCGCAGGATGTAGCGGTGGCAGCGCTCTTCGTGGCATGCAAAATCGAGGACACGTTGAAGAAGTCGAGGGAGATACTCGCTACAAGTTATAATATGCGGCATCCGCAGCATGAGCCGATTAATTCTGATTCCTCGGTGGGTTACTGATGTTCCTTTTGCTACTTGGCAGTCGGGCGATTATTGATGAGGGGAAGGCGTAGATTTTGGACGAGACGGTAAAGCGCATCATCGGGATTGAGCGCGTTATTCTTGAGTCCTCATCTTTTGACTTCCGATACAGACACGCTCAGCCGTTCCTCATCAAGTTTGCGAAGAAGTTTGGATGCTCGAAGGCACTCACGCAGTTGGCATGGGATATATCCGTGGATGTGTACAAGACACTCTCGCCGCTGAAGGCCACTCCGCATGTCCTTGCACTCGCCTCGTTGGATCTTGCGATGAGGCTGGAGGATCAGAGGGTCGAGATTGAGTACGAGAAGTTTGAAGCTAGTCGGGAGGTTGTGCTCTGTGAGTTACCCAAAACCCCTGGCATACGTGGGATCTGAGCAAGAAGAACAAGGCTAATATGGTGAAAAATTGGAAAAATAAATAGCCGTAATCGATGACCTCCTGGAGCTATACACTAGCCACAAGATCCAAACTATCGTCGGATTGAATTACGATAGCAATGTCTACCTCACCCAGCGTATCCAGCTGAACAAAGAGCGAACACCCTACACAAATGGCCACTCAAGCCAGAACGGAACAAGCTCCAATAGCAGCAGCCACCAAAACAATCACAGCAACAACAATCACTACATCCACCCAAGCCGAGACTTCCTAAATACCTCCCCAGCAGAGTCCATCCCACCCACCGTCGTACCCACCGAGCGTGGAACCTATGGCACCATCCGTTTCATGATCGACCCTGCAAGAGAAAGGACCGAGAAGGAACAAATGAATGACTCGGGTAGATCCAAAGAGTTTGCATCACCAAATGGAGTGGTTGTTAGTCCTTGGAGTGGGAGATCTTAGAAAAGATGAAAAAATAAAAAATAAAAAATATTTTTTGTTAAAAACAAAAGGAAAGGAATGATAAAAAAAAATTAAATTCACACCCTTCTTCTCAATTAAATTTAAGAATAATAATGAGGTATTATAACTCAAAGGTTCGTTTGTGCATATATATGTTGTTTCGTTTTGTTTGCTTGTTCGCTTCATAAGGCATTCTAAAGGTACTTCCCCGCGACAATAGCTTTGGGAGGGGCAGAATTTCTCTTTTCGATTCCACGCTTTTTCTGTGTGTGTTCGTGCGTTCGTTTGTTGTTGGGAATTGGTGGTCATCATAAGGGAGGGGAGGAGGTGGATTAGTTAGTTGGTTGGTTTATTGATGGACGATGTGAGGTTCATCAAGAACTCGGGTCATGTTAGTTTATACATCTGTATGTTGATAACCGCAGTAGGGGTGGGTGCCAGGCAGCCCGCTTGAATTATGATAATAATTATTGTAATATTACTATACAGTCTAGTACAAGTGTAGTCACACTATCTTCGTGAATTGATGGAATTATGATGCATGCTGCTTGGCCGCATAATATGATACCCGTGGTATGATACCGTCTATCCACTATCATGGGAATGAGTGATGACAGATGACGCACCTCCCCGTGCATCCATCCATCCATAATCGGTTGGTTGGGGGGCGCTACCGAAGCCATTAGACCTAGATTACGGCTTGAAAGCACTCCAACCCACCTACCAGCCAACCAACCCTCTCACCACAAAAACGATACCATCACCAGCAACAACTCAAACATGTCTCCCGCCAAAAGACTATTAACAACCCTCCTCCTTCCGAGGCTCTCAACGGGCACTCCCATATCCAGAAGGAAAATCGCAACCATCCCGACGCACCTCCACGCCCCACCCTTCTTCTGCACTCCACCGCGACAACAACCACCGCTATCGGTATCGAAGAGATACTCCACCGCCCAATCACCAAACACAAAGCTCTACGATTATGAAGCCGTACTCTTCCCCCTCACCCCCCCCCCCGACCTTCCCCGGCTAACCCCCCTCCGCAGATCAAATCCCTGACAAAAACCTACCCACGAACATGTGCCCTGATCGACGTCCGCGAGCCCGCGGAATTCGCTGCGGGCGCTATACCCATGGCAGTTAATATCCCCATCGCGTCATCGCCCGACGCGCTCACGCTGTCGCCGGAGGAGTTCGAGGATCGGTTTGGCTTTGCGAAGCCGGAGTTGGAGAAGGAGGTTGTGTTTTATTGTAAAGCTGGGATCAGGAGTTCTGCTGCGGCGCAGGTTGCGGTTGGAGTTGGATATCGGCGGGTTGGAGAGTATAGGGGGAGTTGGGTTGATTGGGAGAAGAGGGAGAGGGGGGATTGAGGAATTGGGCAGGTTGGGTTTCCGGGGAAAGGGAGCGCGGTTGTTAGGTGTGGGATTGGTTGGGGGTGGGATGAAAATGTCTGGTTTGGATCATTGGCTGGGGGGTGTTACGATAGCTGAGGTCATTTCCGACGACTGGCTCCCAGTACAGTGCTGTCACACTCTATCAAGCTTCCTTCCATTTTTCGTTCACTAGCTCAGATAGGTGCTGTCATCTGGCCCCGCATATATATAGATAAAGCTCAATGAAAAAAACCTCCCAGGTATCATACCCAGAGACTCGCAAATGCCGAATTATACACAGCGGAAGAGCCTATACCAGCGGAACAGGAACCACCGGGTAGATTTCACCCAACCAGTTTTTACTTTTTTGAATTCCCTGTATGATAACAAAAAGGAAAGGGGAAAGGGAAAAGAAGAAAAAAAAACTCCAGAACAACCCATTTAAGCATCGGTCGTAACCCTTCCCTTAGGATTGGTGACCTTGACGCCCAATGTCCTAGCCTTGGCAATGATCTCGATACGCTTCCGGGATGAAACAGCGTGGCCGATCCTATATACTAGTTAGCTATGTATGCTATGACTGGGTTCTAGAGAATTCGTACTCGGCAGCATATGTCTTGTTGTGCATGAGAAGGAGGTCGAGGTCGGAGGTGTTCTGGACAAGGAATGCCTTGTGCCCAGAAGGCATCATGTGGCGGGTCTTCTTGTTAGATCCAAAACCGATCTATAATCACCCCCAGCATGCAGCGGTCAGATAACGAACTCCAATCATACTACAACCCTCCCCAAGTTCCTCAGCCTTCCCTCCGAGAGTTCGAACGTACCGAGGGCATGACGGCCTGTCCCTTGAAGCGCCTTCTAACTCTGTTATCGATACCTTTGGGTTTCCTCCATGCCGCCTTGACTGTCTTGTAGCGGTCGCTTTGGTGGCTATCGTTTTCGCAATAACGTTAGTCCCGTGCCCATAATTTTCCTTTATCTCTCCCCCGCAGTCGCAGTTCGAATCGCAGGAGCAGGCGGAGAGAGGTTCTTACCGATTGAACCTCTTGGTCCGCTTCTTGACGATCGGGATATGCTTTTTGGCAGCGGTCATCTTAATGGCGAGAAAAAAAATAGTCAGAATAACAGAATTTTCTAGCGAGAATTTCCCCAGCATGTAGTGAGTGCTCACCTTGTCGAAAAATCGGAGGTTGGTGGAAAAAGGGGTGTTGCTGTCGGTCGGTAGTCGTAAATTGATGGACAAGCTCTGGGAATTCAGCCCACCAAACAATTTTTGCGGAGGTGTGTTGTGCGGGGATTTAATGTGACTGTCTTCTTACCCTACCTGAGTAAAAAACCCTGTGGCCCAGTCTTTGGAGTCTTGGCGGTAGCAATGAGCGTGGAGGTTACTAAGCCCCGCTAATGAAACAAGGTTGTCGGCTGCACGTGTTAGCGCGCGGTGGATAACAGCCAAAACAAATCCCATAAACACAAAAATAACAGACTCAATCGACCTTTAACCACTACCTCCCCCGCCATTCTCACCACTGACCAACATGAGGGTCGTTGAAATTATTATCGATGCAGGTATTCCCGGATGGAGAGTGTACTATGCTGGCGACTAACGCTGTTGTTCTAGGGCTTTAAATCCTATGCGGTCCGAACAGTCATTACCGGATGGTGAGTCCCTTCACTTTGCTCGACTAAAGCCTTTTCAAGCTAAATGCTCTCATAGGGATGAGAGCTTCAATTCAATCACCGGCCTCAACGGTAGCGGTAAATCGAACATCTTGGATGCGATATGCTTTGTCCTAGGGATCACAAACATGACAACCGTTCGTGCGCAGAATCTTCAGGTACGTAACCTCGCTCACTCTTCTCGCTTCCCAAGCCCTAACTTGGTTACAGGATCTGATTTACAAACGTGGGCAAGCTGGTGTGACGAAAGCGAGTGTTACTATAGTCTTTGATAACTCAGACAAAGCAAAGAGTCCCATAAATTACCAAGATTTCGCACAAATAAGTGTCACTCGACAAGTATGATCCTTGACCGATCCTTGAGGCTGTTTGGGAGTGGTGCTGAATCTTTGGGTAGATTGTATTAGGGGGAACGAGCAAGTACCTCATCAACGGCTCTAGAACCCAGCAGCATGTTGTCCAGACACTGTTCCAGAGCGTCCAGCTCAATATCAACAACCCGAATTTCCTTATCATGCAAGGTCGAATCACCAAGGTGCTGAACATGAAGCCTACAGAAATTCTATCGATGATCGAAGAAGCTGCGGGGACCCGAATGTTTGAGGACCGAAGAGATAAGGCATTAAAGACTATGTCAAAGAAGGATAAGAAAGTCGAGGAGATCAACGAACTTCTAAAGGAGGAGATTGAACCCAAGTTGGACAAACTGAAAATGGATAAGCGAGCATTCTTGGACTTCCAACAGGCGCAGAGTGATTTAGAACGATTGACGAAGATTGTTGTCGCGCATGACTACCTTAAGAACCAGGCAAGCTTTCCCTCGGCCGAACTGTGGAATCCGTCCTAACCACTCAATAGGAGAAAGTCAACCGCTCGGCAGCCGATCTAGAAGCGAAGAAGCAGCGCGGGAAAGACATAGACGATTCCGCCAAGCGACTGAAATTCGAAATAGAAAATCTCGCGGAAGACATTAAGAGAGTCAAGCAACAGCGGGAGAGGGAGCTTAGGAAGGGAGGGAAATTTCAGGCACTTGAAGATGAAGTGAAGGAGATGTCCCACGATGCTGTTCGACTTACAACTGTGCTCGACCTGAAATCGAGTAGTATAAATGAAGAGAAAAAGAAGCGGAAGGAAATTGAGAAGAGTGTCAAGGAGATGGAAAAATCGTTGGCGGATAAGACGAGAATATATGATCAGCTGAAGGAGGGGTACGATGCAGCGAAGGCTGAATTCGATGCGTTGAGCGGAGAGGCTGAGAAAAAGGAGGAGCTTCTGCAGACCCTATTAACAGGGGTGGCTTCGAAAGAAGGTCAGGAAAGCGGTTATCAAAATCAGTTGCAAGGTTAGGGAACCGGCTCTACTCCAGAGACATAGGGGCTAATAGCTTCGTAGAAGCAAAGCTGCGAGTTAGTGCAGCGGCAACGGAGCAAGAACAAGCCAAGCTGAAGATATCCCATTTTGAGAAGAGGATTAAGGAAGAGGAGCCGAGGGCAAAGAAGGCCAAAGAACAGAACGCAACGCTTTACAAGGAGCTGGATGGTCTACGAGCAGCTGCAAAGAAGCTCGAGGCCGACTTAAAGAAGCTTGGCTATGAGGGTGGAAAGGAGGAAGACATGCATAAACAAGAAGCAACTCTGCAGACCAGGATTAGGGAGCTTCAGGAACAAGCCGATGGGCTAAAACGGCGAGTCGCTAATATTGACTTCAACTATTCTGATCCTACTCCGAACTTTGATAGATCGAAAGTTAAGGGTTTGGTCGCACAATTGTTCACTCTTGACGAGGATAAAGCGGAGGCGGGGACCGCCCTGGAGATTACTGCTGGGGGAAGGTTGTACAATGTTGTTGTCGACACACAGGTCACAGGTACCCAACTGCTGGAGAATGGGCGGTTAAGAAAGCGGGTTACAATCATTCCCCTCAATAAGATTGCAGCATTCAGAGCTTCTGCCGAGGTGACTAAAATTTATGATTGCTTATGACTTGGGCTGACTCTCGTTGGTAGAAAATTGCAACCGCCAAACGCCTCGCTCCTGGGAAAGTTCACCTGGCCCTCTCGTTGATAGGCTATGATGAGGAGATATCCGCAGCAATGGAGTTCGTCTTTGGATCTACACTCATCTGTGCGGATTCAGAGACAGCTAAGACAGTCACCTTTGACCCCAATGTTCGAATGAGATCGGTGACTCTTGAAGGTGATGTCTATGATCCTTCCGGAACTCTGTCCGGGGGATCTGCTCCGAACTCTAGTGGGGTTTTGGTCACCCTTCAGAAGCTCAATGGCTTGAATCGACAAATCGAACAGCACCGCATGGAACTACATGAATTGCAACAGATAATGGCCAGAGAGAAAAAGAAGATGGATATGATTAAGAAGGTTAAGCAAGAGCTAGACCTGAAGAACCACGAGATCGGCCTGACAGAGGAGCAGATTAACAGCAATTCTTCATCTAACGTATGTCACCAGTTTTGCATTGGTTTATCTTACGAACGGGCGGTAGCTAACTATTTTTGATAGATCATTCAAGCTGTCGAAGAAATGAAAGAGAATATTGTGCAATTGAAGAAAGAAATCGTCGAGGCGAAGGCACGGCAAGCCCAGGCCAAAACCGATGTGAAGAATATCGAGCGAGATATGAATGAGTTTAAGAATAATAAGGGTGGAAAACTTGCTGAGCTCCGAGTTTCAGTTGAGTCTTTGAAGAAACAAGTCAGCAAACAATCGCAGATAATGAAAGCCGTGCAAAAGGAGTACCAGGGCGCACAACTTGAAAGAGGTAACCTTCAGTTCAGAGCTTCCTTTTCTGTGCACTTCTAATCCTTCGTTTTAGAACAAGCTGGAGGTGATCTCGCAGCTTCCCGAGAGCAGCTCGAGGAGGCAGATATGACACTTAGATCTATGCAAGATGAAGTCGCCGAACTCAAAAAAGAACAGGCCAAGATCAAGGATCTTCATGATGTAGCACTCGCCCAACTAGAAGATGAGCGCGCTAAGCTCACAGGTTTTGACGAAGAGCTTAGAGAGCTTGAGAGTGCTACTCGCTCCAAAAACGCACGTCTCGCCGAAGAAGCATTAGAAAAGCAGAAGCTTGGCCACGAAATCGAAAGATTCCACAAAGACCAGCAAACTGCCACAGAGCTGGTAGCCAGAATGGAGCGCGAGCATGAGTGGATCGAAGACGAGAAGGAGCAATTTGGCCGTCCGGGGACACCCTACGACTTCAAGGGCCAAAACATCAGCGAGTGTCGTTCCTCGCTCAAGAAGCTCACCGAGAGGTCCCAGAACATGAAGAAGAAGATCAATCCCAAGGTCATGAACATGATCGACTCTGTTGAGAAGAAGGAGCAAGCTCTCAAGAATATGTTGCGGACCGTCATCAAGGACAAGAAAAAGATCGAGGATACTATCCTCAGTCTGGACAAGTACAAGAAGGAGGCGCTCGAGAAGACCTGGAAGAAAGTCACGGGAGACTTTGGCCAGATATTCGCAGAACTTCTGCCAGGCAGTTTCGCAAAATTGGAACCGCCGGAGGGAAAAGATGTCTCTGCCGGTCTCGAAGTCAAGGTGTCTCTCGGAAAGGTCTGGAAACAGAGCTTGACGGAATTAAGTGGAGGACAACGGTTAGCCTGCCCTCTCCTCCCACTTCCCTCATTTGCTAACAGCTGAAAAAAAAACCCACAGATCCCTAATAGCCCTTTCCCTGATCATGGCTCTTCTCCAATTCAAGCCAGCTCCCATGTATATCCTCGACGAAGTGGACGCAGCGCTGGACCTCTCGCACACTCAGAACATAGGAAGACTGATCAAGACGCGCTTCAAAGGGTCGCAATTCATTGTGGTCAGCTTGAAGGATGGCATGTTCCAGAATGCGAATCGCGTGTTTAGGACCAGGTTCGTTGATGGGACTTCGGTCGTCCAGACTATGTAGTACTACTACTAGTAGTAGTAGCGGTGGTGCTGTTCTTAGTTTCCCGTCTACTCCCCTTGTTCTCGGCTTTGTAGAGACCTTACGATTAGTATATCAGTGGTTTATGATTTCCATTTTTAGTTATTTTTTTCTTTTCTTCTCTCTTCAAATGTCTTTGATGGGTTATGATGAGATTTCTAGGTGCAATATAATACGTAGCGGGAGTTTTGTGTCGGGCGCCCACTTTTGGTTAATTTACTCGTGATGGTTGGATGGTATGGCGCTGTAACTCTTGCTTTCGGGGAATAATATCACGAGTTGGTGAAATTGTGTTTCTCGATTACACCACTGCCGAATGCGGGACCCGATAAGCACAGTATTGTACGAGCAGTGGAGGCAATAACTAGGGTAGAATGAATAATCCTCAACCCGTGGTGAAATTATACTTGTACAATTTCCTACTCTACCGTCTTTCTCAAAGACCTCCCCTCGCTCAAGATGGCAGTGGTAATTTCCTTTGCCTCATTCATAGATTGAATGGATCACCAAGGTAATATAAAACAAACTCTATCCCGAAGAAGAAAAGTAGAGTGTTTCACATAAAAGCAAGGAAAGAAGCCCGAAAATCAAACTCCCATCCACCCCAAAAAACGCCTTTAAGAGATAAAAGAGAAGGGGAAAGATTTGGAGAGGTAATACTATTACAGGTATCATAATGGGGGGAAAGAAAAGAAAAATGCCATAAAATGCCCCCCCCCAGCTAAGTCAACTAGAAAACTCAGTATGAATCTTTTTCGCACTTCTATGCCCCAATAGCCAAACATTCATCCAACAATCCCTTCAACTGCTTCCGATCCTCGACTGCGGCGCCCTCCCAGTCGCCTGCATCCACCTCATCGGGAAAGACGATCTCGCTTTCAACCTCGTAATCCCTCTCGAACCAGCCTCCAGCCATAATCCTCTTTTGGCTCAAGGGCAGTTGTGCGAGTAAGTTATCGCCGAGGGTGAGACTTAGCCTGACATCGTGCATGCTTAACAGCGGGCGTTCGTTGGGGGGGGTCCAGCGGCCCTTCGGGTGGAGCTTGCGGTACTTGTCGGTCTGGATGTAGTTGGGGCCGTTGGAGCGGACGCGGGAGATGATGGTTGAGAGGATTTCCTTGACGAAGGTCTCCGCCGCCACGTTCATGAAGTTTGCGGCTTCGGGGGTGCAGCCGCCGGGAACACCTTCTTCGTAACATATTGGGAGCATGCGTTGGCGGATGTTCTCGACGTCCGGGAATTCGCCGGATTCGCTGGAGAGGGCCATCGCGTAGCGGTTTTTGATCTCGGACTCCCAGTCTTTGGGGGAGGGGAAGTGTCAGCTAGTAAGAAAGGACGGAGGGGAAGGTGGGAGTACTTGTTTTAAGACCCGCACTCATCGGAGGAGGAGCTTCGGGGATCTTGACCTGCTTTGCCAAATGGTAATCTTGTAGCATACTACCGAGCATATCTTCAACGTCTCCCAGCTGTCTGTCGTCAATAGTCGCCCCCATGGACACCTAGAAGTAGAGTGGAAACGGACCGGCATAGGGACCTCCTTGATCCTCCTCCTCTCCCTGGCCAAAATCGCCATAACCTCCTTCTTCAGCCTCTTCTCATTGACGTCCCCAGCCGGCATCTTTGAAAGCGTACTTGGCTTATCAGTAGCAGACACCCATGCCGCAACATCCGTTGGTGGCAAATCCCTTGACGAATTTCCGTACATGGCTAACAACAATTGGTTATGCATTCGCACGGCGGGTCCTTTGATGAAACTTGCGATGCGCGAGGTTAACTCCTCATGATTGAGGCGACCTGGAGAACGTAGGATATATGTATGTAAGCTCCAATTCTCATCATTGTCGGACCCTACTACGCGCCCTCAAGCGCAACCTACTTAAAGGTAGAGGGAAAAAACAGACCAGTCAAAAAGCCTCCAAGAGCTTCCTTATATATTAGCCAATTTTCCAACCCGACATGAGTTTTGAGGGCTTCATAGAGTGGCTTCTCATCGATGCGAGGTACCGCTGGAGGCCCTCGGGGAGCAGCTGGTTTAGCAGTCGTTTTTGTGGCTGTTGAAGGTCCGGTTGATTTCCCGGCGGTCGGCGGGTGCGTGTTTGAGCTTGAGGTCGGACGACTCGTAGGTGTAGTTGCATCCATTGGTCACGTTTCGAGAGCGCAAGGCAAGGATTGGTGCGGGAACAGGTTGGTTGAGGATGTAGCGGGCGATGGGGGGCCTTCTTCTGTAGAAGGAAGTATTTCGTACCTACGAGAAGGAGGTTTACACGGCGGAGACCCCAGGCTGTCGAGTATAGTATTAGTAGGGAATGATGGAGGGGATAAGGAAATGAGTAGGGAAAATCTAAGAGCTTAAAGCTGGGAACTGCGGTCAAATTAAGGTTTAGTTACCCGGCGGTTGAACAAGATGAGAAGTGTAGCGGCTCTGCGCTTCCCCGACTCCGAAACTGCGTTGTAATTTATCAAGCTCATCCCGTACCGGTATTGCTTGTACGATATGGGGATGTAGCATAAGATCATCATAATTATTATACAAAAAAAAAAGGAAAAAAAAAAGGAAAAAAAAAAGATCTGAATCATAGCTAAATCTCTATATTTAAAAAGTAACTCATTATTGATTTCTTTTTTACGGAAAACGAAATACTGGTAATCCAAACACGGAACGCATTACAATCAGGCCAGTTTATGGGTAACGTAGAAACAGCAATATAGCCATGACTAGGCAAAGATGCTCTGATACGAGTATGATACTGACAGGAAAAACCCCCCCGAACCCAGTGTCCAAATAACAGAATCTCGCGCCTAGAACAAGTCAAAAGGAAAAAGAACAGTTACGGGAAGGGAAAAAAGGAAAATAACGGTTGTCACTCGGATAACTCTAACAAAAGATAAAATTGAGCTCCCCCCCACGATTATGCTTGCCCCTTGGCAGCAGCTTGCTTCTGATCCATCTCCTCCATCCTGCGTCGAGCTGCTAGGATCATTTCATCTCGCTTATTCTGGTGCGCTAGTTGTCTGTCCGACCTAGTTTGGGGAGATTTACCCCTCCCAGAGGGGGTAGACGACGAAGAAGAATCTCCTTCGTGAAGGCGGCTATGAAGGTTGTATCTGGTGATCAAATCTTGATACCCCACGGCCCGAGAAGACGAAGCTCCTGAGGGGTTGTGGGTAGCTGTACGACGCGCAGCAGCCGCAGGCGCCGGTCTGGCGGTGGAGGAATTTAAGGGAGCAGCGACAGGCGCCGGAGGCTAATAAAAACGTCAAGGTTAGCTCCTGCCCCCAACAAAGCATCCCCCGGGAGAAACCAATTACCTCAGGAAGTCCCCCAGCAGCTAGAATCTTCTCCGTCGCGATCTCAATATTTCCACCGTTCCGTATGAGCTCAGCTTGTGCGGCTGCCATAGACACTTGGGGGAACATCCCCGTCAAGAGGAGGGACTGCTCTTGTAACCTTCGCTGGTCGACAACCGGTGATCGGGTTGGCGAAACGATACTAGGATCCGAAGATTTGAAGAACCATCTGAAAACAAAATATCCTACCAGGAGACAAGCCGCGACCTGAGGCAAACCGAGACTGTCAGACTGAGACATTTAAATGTTTTACCGAGCAGTTTCTCGCCGTATGTATAAAAAGTTCGTTCGTTGGGCTTGTGATTTGGTAGTGGGTGGTGGGGTTGAGGCCCAAGAGAAGGGGGAGGAAAAGGTTGGGCGTAGTTTACAGGCGAAAAGAGTTTGATTCGGGAGCAAAAGCAGTGGCGTTGAAACCAAACCAAGCCCCGATTAACCTAGCATACAAACTGGAATGCCAACCTAACTCGAGAACTTTCCATGAAATCAATACCACGTGATATAATCAAGAATTTCCCTTGCTGAGTCATCCACGCTATTTTCTTTTTTTTTTTTCTTTTCTTTCTTGAAATCCAAGTTCCACTCTCCCACCTTTTCCGTCCCACCAGGTAAACAGCATAAAAAACTCCAGAACACTTTCTATTCAAGACGCCTGATTGCCACGTCTGCAAGTGTCGGTGGTGAGCGATAATCATGAGCTTCATTCCTCCAGTATTACCGAGGGCTGTCCGTGTTCTACGGACATCTTCAAATCCTATCACAAATTTCAGATGTTCCTACGCTCCGACACTCCCGAGATCACTGCCGGTCCCGAGAAATTCCAATCACTCGCCCAGGAGAGTGAGTATTTCCCCGCACAGTTGCCTATAGTATGTCATTGCGATTAACCAATCATGTCTTCCCTACAGTCCTTTCATAGCACTCCAAGGTCCCAAGCATCAGTAAAAAATCCTTACTCCGTCCTCGGCCTTGATAAAAACGCATCCACCTCCGCTATCAAGAAGGCATACTACTCATTGGCGAAGAAATGGCATCCAGACCAGAACAAGGACAGTTCGGCGAGGGAAAAGTTCCAAGAAATCCAATCAGCATACGAGATTCTCTCGGACCCGGAGAAGAAGGAACAGTTTGACCAATATGGCGAAGCAGCATTCAAACCTAGTGCTGGGTTCAATCCTGGCACCGGAGCCGGGTTCGGTCAGAGTGGATTTCGCGAGGGCTTCCCAGCAGACTTTTCGTTCGAGGACTTGTTTAGTGCATTTGGTGGCAGTAGTGGGCGGGGGACGAGTGGTTCTGAGGGGGGGATACCGTTTGGTGATAACATTGAGGTACGTTACAGAAGAACTATCCCTCCGCCGCTAACATGTAACGAAGTGGTTGACTGGAATAAAAATAGGTTGAAACAACAATCTCATTCATGGAGGCTGCAAAGGGGGTTTCAAAAGACATTCACATCCACGCATATTTACCGTGCAAAACCTGGGCAGGCACGGGAATGAAATCCGGAACTCAGAGGCAGCCATGCGGCCGCTGCGGCGGAACCGGTACCCGCGTACACTTCATGCAGGGCAATTTCCAGATGGCCTCGACCTGCGATGCCTGCAAGGGAGCGGGAGTAGTAATCCCTCGGGGCTCGGAGTGCGGGACCTGCGATGGATGGGGCGTGACGAAGGAGCCCCGAACAATCACGATCGACATACCCGCTGGCGTAGACACTGGTATGAGAATAAAGGTGGACAATGAGGGCGATGCCCCGCATTCGAAAGCCTCCGGCGCTTCGTCCACCAAGACTTGGAGGGGGGACTTGTTCGTTCATCTTCGGGTTGCACCGCACAAGTACTTTAGGCGGAAGGGTTTGGACGTCTACTACACTGCTACAATACCATTGACTACCGCCCTTTTGGGAGGTCGGATCAGGGTCCCGACGCTAAGCGGCGGCGAAGAGGACATTGAAGTCCCCCTAGGCACAACTACCGGGGACACGACAAAGATCTACAGAAAAGGTATGCGAGGGTTCGACTCCGTAAGCGTCGGAAATTTTACGGTTGAATTCAAGGTCAACCCTCCAAAGTAGGCCCTCAACCCCTGCAATCTCTACTGCCACCAGAACTGACAAACTCTTCCCAGAACCCTAACGGCCCGCCAAAGGATCCTTCTAGAAATGCTTGCCGAGGAACTCGACGATAAGACTGCTAGGAGGATAATGGGTGTTAATAGCGAAAAGTATGGCCCTTCCACTACTACTACCAACACCAATCACCCAGGTAATCGCACTGACCAAACATCAAACTTCAGGCAGGGGCCCTCCCCCTATGAACAGCACAAGAACGAAAACTTCATAAAGCGTGCCTGGCACAACCTTACCCATCAGCACGACGACATGCCCAAAGACGATGACGACCAGAAGAAGGCTTCTGGATCTGGCTAGGCTATAGCAGTGCTCGATGAGTGGAAGGCGGGAGGGTTGGGAGTATAACAACCAAGACAAATTAACTTAAGTATAGTGGAGAAAAGGGGAAGTTTATATTTGTGGTCTTTTTTCTATGTATCCCTCCTCTTATTCCTATCATGTTCGCATGTGCCCCCCCGCCCTCCCCCCATTTTTTTTTCTCTTTCTTTTGGCAGCCGCAACAGCGACGACGGCGGTGATCGCAAGGTCTCCATATTATATAAAACCCAGAACCTCTTCCACTTCTTATAACATCATCTGGATTGCTGCCAAATCACCGCAGTACTGGTATATGGTCTTGTATAGTTTATTCCACGACTTTTAGCCTAGTTTACGTACGATATTAGTCTGCTTGTATCATAAGGCGAGTGGGTGGGGGCTTTACTTCTCACGCTCATTCGCACTGCAGCAGGCAGTAGGTCTCCATCCCTACTACATAAGTCTTTTATCATACCATGCCTGCTAATAGATCAAGTTCTGTGGGTTAACACGTCAATTCCGTATGATACCATACCGCTCTACACAGTACCCTACAAGCACCACACTGCGCATCCCCGAACCGCGACAAACACGATACGGAGTATGATACTATACCACACAAAACTCCCTAGAAGAAGGCCTTCAAGACCAACCACTATTATACTAGTATTATAGAATTCGAGTTCAAGAGAGAAGGTTAAAAAAAAAAAAAAAAAAAAGTACACACCAGTACGACTGGTCTGGGTTCATCATAGCTTTTACAGTATGTACTGTACTTTATCCATTGATCTGCACAATCCCCCCCCGCGCATCTATCGTCACCACACGCTTTCCCGAGTTACAGTATATATTGTACAGTACTGTGGCAGTATGATATTATACTTCCATCGCTCGCCGGAGGTGATGAGGCGTCCAATGGTACTGCCAGATATACAGAAGCTATTATCATGGATACTTTTAAGGTCTCGGGAAAAAAGGGCATAAAGTACTGTAGCGGTGAGGAACACAGAACACAACAAAGTAAAAAGTGGCGAAATTTACTTGATCCAGATTCACCGCGAGCGCTGGGGGGGGTTCATCACCAATTGTTCAAAAAATACACCTGTAGCTGGTCGGGAACGCAGCGGTTTACTGCATGCCCTTTTAGTCGCAGTTGATTCGGGATTGGCTCTTGCGCAATGGAGGGAGGTTGTTGTATTGTTCGCGTTGAGGCCAGGAATCTGAACGGGGGTGCCCGCCCCGCCGAAGAAGAGAAGAAAAAAGGCATGATACCATGGTCACTCCGGGAATCGTAGTCTCCGACTGCCTACAAACAAGGTAGCCTAATGCACGCCGGATTCAGCTGAAAACCGGGTTACCGTACCGCGAAGCCCGCACCCGCACCCGCACCCGATACCGGTACCCTGAGGTGGTATACTAGTCTATAATAATATTATTATGATACATATGTCAGAACCAATTGAAGTGAGAATGGCCCTGTGGCGTAAAAGACACCTGATGACGACCTCTGGCAGGGGCCCAGTTGCTACACAGAATCCAACTTCGGAATTGCCTTTTTGAGCCCCAAACCTCCACCCATTCATTCAACAATCCAACTCACCACCACCACCACTCCACCCGCCATCACAATGTCAGGCGACAAAAAAAATGCCTACGGTACCGAGACCGGCGGTGACACCGTACTTCTCCCCCCTCCCCTCCCTTCCCCACAATTCTAACCCTACCAGAACTTCCGCCGAACCTGGAACCGCGAAGAATGGACCGCAAAGGCGCAAGAGCGTGAATCTCAGGACCGCGCGGCCTCAAAACTCCACCAGGAGGCCAAACTCGCGGGCAAGAAATTCCACCGACCGCCCACGCCTCCGGACGCAAGCAGCACCTCGGCGCGCGCCTCGCGACTAAACCTCGAGGAGAACCTGAACAAGACGACCCTAGTCCCGGCTGGCGCGGGCGTGGGCAAGAGGGGGAGGGGGGCCGGCTTTTATTGCGAGGCTTGCGACCTCACGTTCAAGGACTCGCTGCAATGGGTGGATCACCTTAACTCTAAGCAGCACCTGCACGCCGTCGGTGAGAGGGATGAGGTTGTCGTTGCTACACTCGAGATGGTTGTTGAGAGGTTAGCCTGGTTGAAGAGGAGGAGGGAGGAGGAGGGGAGGGATGGGGAGGAGGTGGATCTAGCGAGGAGGTTGGCGGACAGGGCACGCGCGGAGGAAGAGGAAAGGGTGCAGAGGAGGGAGAAGAGGAAGGTTGCTAGGCGGGAGAGGAAGGAGAGGGAGAGGAAGTTGGGGAAGGAGGGGGATGTTGAAGGTGGAGATGGTGATGGGAAGGGAGGAGGTGAGGAGGAGGATCCGGATGCGGTTGCTATGGCTAGGATGATGGGTTTCGCAGGTGGGTTTGGGACCACGAAGAAGAGGAGCTGATGGAATAATAATACTTTCGGGGGGGGCTACTTTCCTATCTTGTTTATAGGTTGTTTCGCACATGAGAGCACAGCCAGCATGTCAACTTTATGGAGTTATGGAGTACATTTTTTGCCATCAATCGCGCACGCACTACCCCAAAACTTCAACATCGTTACGTTGCTCGCTTTACCCTCCATTGTAACCTCAAGCAACTCCACCATCCAACCGAGTGACAACTAATGAGCCCAGAACCTGATCCCCCATCACATCAAACCACACACCACTCAACTTCACAATTTAAAACACTTATATTATATCGTATGGATTCAAGAAAGACACATCGTGCTGTCAAATGTCACGCAGCATCAACTCACTAGGCAACATGGAAAAACGTGCAAAAGATGAAAAGACTCATGTACTCCATAAAAAATTCACAAGAATTCTTAAGACTCGTCCGCCTGCTCTTGCTGCTCATCCTTCCTCTGCTCGATAACAAGGTCCTTGCCCTCAACACGTTTGTAGATATCCTTGACATCATCGGTGCAGGTCTCGAAATGTGTAGAAGCATCATAGCTCTTGGAGATGTATACGTGGTCCTTGGTGCCGTCCTCAACAGGCTCAAAGAGATCAACAACTTGGATGAACCTACAAAATATTAGTATCCGGATTGAATAAACCAAGGAATGAAATTTCGAAGGAAAAAAACTCACTTCTCCTCATCCCTGCCCAGGCGGCCAGAGCCCAGTCCCAGACGATCAAATCCAGGCTCGAGTTCCGCATGAGGGTTCCCGGAATCTGGGTCCTCGAGGATGGTTGAGACACTGGCAAGATAGAATCCCTTGGGGCAGACATTGAATGCAGAGGAAACCAATGAGATGTAGATATCGTTCCTCCTTTTGGTTATGCTCGCAGGGATAATGATTTGTGCCGAGTCGGCATTCTCGGTACCCTCAATAGGGTGAGTGAGGATGCAGATGGCACGAATCAACTTTCCAACTTGACGAATTCTTTTGTCCTGCCCAAGGAAATAGCTGGGGTCGGCAATAACTTTCTTGGTCTTGACGGTCACCTCCTCCTTGGTGTTGGGGTGAGGGAACCTGACTCCACAAACGACGCCGGAATCATCGAATAGAATCTCCTGCAGGGGAGTGTTCAGAGCATACGTTCCACCATAAACGGCAGACAAGAAAGAGAATCTCTCCGGGAGCTCGCCCAATCCGTGAAGCGGAAAGATGTAGGGGGATTTTCCGAAACGAGCCATGGATCTAACGTAGAGGATGATACGTTCAATGGGCTCCCTAGCCGGTCTGTCGAGGTAAGAATCATCGACATATAAAGCCATAGCGTGACCAATGAACCCTGAGGTCCATGCATCAAGACTAAAGAGCTTGTACGCCTCTCTCATAGTGTTTTGGTCAAGATTGAGGCCTAAATACATTGATATCAGAAAGCAGCTCGCTGCAGCGCTGAGATAAGAGGAAAAACACACCTTTCTTGTGAGTCGATTTGTCATCCTCCTTGTAATTGGCAATGAACTGTAGGAAATTTTGCATATAATACTTCTGAAAGCTGGAGACCAAAGACGACGTCATGGCCTCCATTCTAGTGGAAGGGACCCTGTAAGGCAAGCCTCCCTTCACGACGTAGCTCCCTCCGACCTGAAGAAGGTCAATGTAACGGGTAACGCCAGTCTTGTGGAGGATGTTGGTTAATTCGCCGTCGGCCATCAAAAACTTTGGTACCAAGGAGATGTGCCACTGGTTCCATTCACTCGGCTTCTTTCCGAAAGCGGCAGGAGGTTCTGGGCCGGTGGGGGTAGCACTGGCACCGACTGGCTTTCCCTCCTCTTCAGCCTTTGTTCTCTCGGCCTCTACCCTCCGCTGCTCATCAGACCACCTGAACTTCTTCCACATCTACACGCAAGCAGTTAGTATGCTCCAACTTGGCCGTCACAACTCAACAATTGCATACTCACCTCCATCACATTCAAGCTAGCACTCTCACTGCAGAGAAAGTTAGTAATCGACCGAAAAAACTATATCCTAGTGATGAAAAACCACTCGCCTTCCATAGTAGGAGTTCTGGTCAATGTTGAGGACCTTCTTTCCTTCGGCTCCGAAAACACTACAAAGGAATGTCAGCAATCAGAAGAAAGGAAGGCAGGTAACTGTAAAGCTTCTTGGAAAATTGCCATACCCAGAGAGAATGCATTCGGTCAAACCTATCGAGTAGATGGCAGTGAATTAGCTTCGAGGCAACAGACAAGGGTATCAGAGGGTCCCAAAACTAACCAGTGCCGACGATGACAACGTCGTATTCTTCGTTAAAGTCACCCATGATTCGATTCAAGATTTAAGAGGAATAATGTCCCAAAGATGGTCTTTTGAGTTGATAGGGAGAGGTAGTTGATGGTGGGAAGAAGTGAGGAACGGGGGGGGGGGTTGGATAAGAAAGAGGCGGAGGAAGAAGAGGCGGGGTTCGTGGTTGTTGTTGCAGGCCCAACCAAGAAGTGACCAGCCACGTTGACCTTCCCCCAGTCAGTCAGTTTCTAACTTAGCTGGACTGGCTCTTAATTCAAAGTGAGAATGTGGAAATACCGGTACGGTACTCGTATCACAGTTGCGGTTCTCTCTTGCACAGTAACCACAAGCACGGACCGCTCACTGCTATTGTAGTCTAATAACGATCAAACGCTGCGTGTGTTGAGTTCCTGCCCGCACATGTACTATACAGTACTAACTATAAGCGTTCTCGTACTACTCATGATTGGGACCTAGCACGATGGCAGCCACATCGGACTCCGCTCGAGCACTGTAGGAGGTGAGGACTTGAATAGACCATTGGCTCAGATTCCGAATTGTGGCCTTTTCTTTCCCAAAAATTTGAAGGAAAAAAAAAAGAGAGAGAGAAAGAGAGAGAGAAAGTATTCGCCGAAGGCATATAGAGAATATGTATCATACCATAACTCTTTCTTACCCCGTGACCCGTTCCACCCCTCCAACGGCCGGCACTAGATAGATGGCTTCTGTCGCCGGCCTACGAGTTATCACAAAATGTCAGCAAGGGAATACCGGTATCGTACTGAAATTAGAGGGGGCGGGCACCGATGCCCTTTTCAATGGAAATCAATCACCATCATATACGGCACCGGCACTCAACTACGAGTAAGCATAACTTAATTCATGTGTGCAATTTATCTTGCTTTGCCTCACCAGTCAGAAGGAACAATGCGGGATGCCACATTGTGAAGAGGCGCCCCCCCCGTCCTCCAATCCAGGTGCATCTATAGCGAGCATAATTATATCTTTCCGAGCAGCGATGAAACACGGCATGCACTCGTATGATACTTGTATGATATAGACCAGTCGTGTCGGGAAGGGTTTTCGTACCTCTTCGCAATTCGAGCCGGTGAGCTACATCAAGCTTGATGTCCACAAACGAACTATAATAACGAATAAATTCAATTGGAGGGCATAGTAAATTTTAGATGGCAAAGTTTATTTATTAGTTTACAAATAACTTTGAGGAGCCATGCTGGCAATAATCAGGTAGTATATACCGGTAATATATCATACCTGTACTCAAATACCGGTAGGTATGAAAGTACTGTACCCGTATCACACAAGTCCAGTACAAGTACAGTACACTCCGCAAAAGTAATCTTTCTTATTCTATCATACCTACAGAGTGTTGGGTTCCCTAGTTGTGATAAGGCAGGGCTGTTGCCAGTCCCCGTCGCTATCCAGGGGCACGAATTCAATACGGTAATGGTAAATTTATTATCCCTATTCATGAAAACTTCCTGGACATGACTCTTCTTTTGTGCTCGAGTTATCACGATGCCGGTATCATACTCGTAGCGTGTCTCACTTCCCGGGCCCAACAACCTGCAACCCGTCCCCCCGCCAACCCCACACTCTCGTAGCATGCATCGCTGAGGGCTGGGAATAAAAAAGGGGGGGTTAAGCAAGACAGCATCAGCCATGAATCATAAAACCTAGCAAGATGGCTTCCAGAAATAGCATATAAAGACCCCAGACACACCCCACTCGCTTCGAAGTTCTCGACTATAGAAGCAAAAAGGGTATCGCCTCCTTCTACAAAGAAGAAAAACGTTTAATCACCTTCACGAACAAAACCAAGGAAAAGTCATGACATCCACCGAGAAGACCTACGAAGGATCCTGCCATTGCAAGAACGTCAAGTTCAGCGTGATCCTAGCAACGCCTATCGAAGAGCAAAACATCATCAACTGCAACTGCACCCTTTGCTTGGACCGCGGTCACCTCATGTTCTTCGCTGCGGGCGACAAAATCACGGTCGAGGGCGAGGAACACCTCAGCACTTACTCCTTCTACAAGAAGGTTATCCATTACCACTTCTGCAAGAACTGCGGGTCCAGCTTGTTTGGGCATGACGAGGGCAAGACGCATTATGGAATCAATGTATGTCCTTTCACAGAAACCTTCCCTTCCTCAACATGGCTGACCGCTGGGCCCGAATGGTAAGGCTCGATCCCTCCACGGTGTCGACTTGGACAAGTTGAAGTTGGTCGAGTACGATGGTGCCTCTGCTTAAGTTTCGAAGAGAATGCTAGTGCGGGGTGCGGGTAATGGGGCGCTGTTCCGGTACAATATATCATACGACTGTTGTAAAATATGAACTTGATGATTGCTTTGTGAAAGAAAAATCTTCCCCAAGGCGATAGCTGTTCTATCCTATCCAAGATCCAGTGGGTGTTGTAACAAGAACGGCTTGCCTATGCAATAATGAGAAAATGGAAGATATTGATGCCCAACATGAGTGCCATACCGGCACCGGTAAACTGGGAACCCACCCTGAGTCTCGTGGCGAACCAAGAACACTAGGCTTGATACGGTAGTAGACTCTACCTAATCAGGAGGTCCCTTGGTTAATTATTAGACGAAAACTCTTTTCCCCATATAAGTCTCATTACCCCCCCCCCCCTCCCATACAAACTCCGAAGGCCTCAACATCACCAGCCAGAAGACTAAAAAGAAAATGGCTCGGTAGATATGTTCCAATAACCAATTGTGAAAGATCTATAGAAGGAATCTTAAAAATTCTATTAAATTTTCTAGGTGTCGTTATCGTTCTAAGGCGCCGGCACCATCTTATAGAGGGTATTACAAGAAGTGGGAGTAGGAATAAACAAAGAAAAAAAGAAAAGAGGCAGCAGAAACGATGCTACCGTATAATACGTAACAAAAAAAAAAACATCCGTGCCCTGGTATCCTCATGTCTATGTTCCCCTTGTCCATCCCATCGCCATACCAGTAATTTATCCATTATCCATACTCCTCTCGTTATTTTCGTGTGCCCAGTTTCCCCGTCCCCTATTCCTATTCCAAGAAGAATCCTAAAAACCCAACACCGGTCATACCCACCCCAATCCACCACCACCTATCTGCATTGATGTTTTCAGCTTTCTTGAGATTACTAGGTAGGGCACGCTTGACCTTCAACTTCGAAGCCCTAGTAGCCTTTGGAGCGCTAACAGTGGGGTTGAGGGTCTGTGTGGGGAGCATTTGTGGAGGGCGGTATGCGAGGTACCTATGTTAGGACTGATCAGATGTCGAAGACTAAAGACTTTAGGGCAAAGGAGGCCATACATCGGGTTCATTGGGGCACCATCGAATTTATAAAGATTGAGTCGGTGCATTCCACGGTATTCGTCAACAAAAATCTCCCACCTCTAGGAGACCACTCTTGTTAGGGATTCCGCTCCGCAATGATAAGAGATAAGCTATGCGCTATGCATACCTTGAAGACTTCCGTCGTATTGAATCTTGTGTAAATCGAGGTCGAATGCTTGCACGGATCTGAATATAGCTGCCTGCCATCTACCATGATCGGGTGCAGCACTATCGAACCATTCTCCGCAATTACATATCCGCCGTGCTGCCACTGCAATACCCCCTTTGTGCATGAAGGGTTCGTAGCTTACCAACCAAGACTTGTCAGCGTACCGGTAGGAGGGGAGAACAGGGACAAGGCAGGTTGAACGAAAGGAAGCCCTTGGTATCTTTGGGAAAAACTCACGATTGGCAACGGCAATATAAACCGCTTCTTCATAAAATCCATCATCCGTGAATGAATAGGATGTGCCCGTGAGCGTGGGCTCAAAAAATTTCTCGTTTACAGGGTCATAAAAGCTCTATTACCCCTTCTCGGTCAGCATCGCTCAAGGTGAATGCCTCACGTTGGGCAAGCGCGCGAAGCGTAACACGAGAATAATAATGAAAGGCAATCACTTGCCGGTCCAGTGAAGACTGCATTTGACTTGGATGACCAAGTGCCTGTGAGCGACGTCACGTTATCCTGGGCTGACACGAAGGGAAGCGCGAGAAGGGTTACAGCCAGTGGAGTTACCGATAACGAAGGAAGCATAGTTTATGCGTGCTGCGCGTTTAACTTGAGTGTAGTAGTACGGGGCGTCAGAAGCTTGTCTTAATCGTCAGAGGGGAAGCCGATCTCGAGGAGGATGAAGTCGGGGGAAGGTGAGTATTTTGGGCACATCCTAAATCGGTGGTTAGGAGAATTGCCTTCTGCCAAATCTTTGTTGACGCTTGGGCCAGGGGCCACATCTCAGGGGCAGCACATTTTTATTTTATTATCTTGTGAAACATTGTTTTACTCGTACCTGGCTTTCGTTATTTGAACTTTTGCACCAAGCTCAGCCCGTTCAAAGACATTGCACTATTAAGTACTCGAGTATATGGAAAACCTACACGGTTCATCATTGAATAATCTCGGTAATCATCGGTAGTCCTTGGTGCGATCTGATGCTCCTCGCGATGAGATTCAATTCCACACCGTCGCAGCGTTGCACTGTACTGTACCTGTGCATACAGCTTTCCCCCCTCCGTACAATTCATTATGGCAGTTTGCTTCATGCGACACATCAACGAACTCGCGGAGACAAGCGGACTTCCTACCGGGGGTTTCGTGGTGCTGCCCGGATATCCCCCTAGGAAGATAATTATTTCGGTAAATTGCTCCTGGGGGGGCTCTTAAAGTACCCGCATTCAATCGGGGTACATTTGCTGTTCTCATTGTCATCATACAGCACTCTGCTGCGGTATCTCTTTGTATATAATATCCAAAGTTCTGAGGGTAACCATGCCACTTCGAAAGATGCTAAGCGACCTTCAAAGGAGCGGTTCTCCCTTGGGAGTGCCTAGCGGTTCAGCGCAAGTAATAGCTCAATGCAATATTTACATTATAATATTATGATGCTGTGATGAGAACTATTTATGATAAAACATCTAACCTCATGATACAAAGAGGTTGTGCTGCTTGTGTATCTCGATCCTATGCAGTCCTCCATATCTGTTCTGAAATTTCTTGCCATGGTTTTTTGGCTTTATTCTCTACCATCTTCAAGTTTCTCATATTGTCAAGTGTTTATTAGACCTTTTCGAAAATCTTGTTCTTCAAGTCAATTTGATTGTTGAAATCATTACTATCCTTGCTATTATTATTTTGGTTACTAGTGCAGATATCAACACATTGTCAGCCCCTGGTCAGGCATTAACTTATAGTTTGATGATAGCCACTCATTCGATTGACATCTTCTCTGCTATGATACATGCATAAGAGGTCTAAAAATTTCGAATCTCATACTATGGTAGCAATATTGGGGTTTTCTGCTTTTGACATTTTATTGATTGCTTCTTGGATTTGTGCTTGTTATATTAGTAGTCGTTGTGGGGTACTCGTAGTGGGATTCCAAAAGAACTAAGGCCCTGTTTGGCATGCCAAACAGGGCCTAAGTTAGTCAAGAGTCTACGCTGCGTGGGGAAGTGTTTTTGATCCTTGCATTGAATCGTTAGGCACTTCTTTGTGTGCGCTGTTTCTTCGGAGGTCGGTGAGCGTCTTTCGAAGTGGGGGGAACCTTGGCACGGTTTTGATACTATCGTCGTTTTGCGGAACCCGAGTATGATACCGGTACCAATAGTCTACCGCCGGCGCAGATTGTCCTACGGTAGGACAGAATTTCCCAAGTTTCCCCATCATACCCGTTGAGAACTTCCTCACCCAACTTGTGGCTTGCGGGTATCGCACAAGTCTCATAACAGCATCGTACAAGTACGGACCCACCTATCATATAACGCCCAGCTGCTATAGTATCTCTCTTCAAGCATTAGCAGCCTTTATCCAGAACACACCCGCACCCCCCTCCCCCGGGAGAAAAAAAAAAAGAAGGGAAGAGAAGAAAAGGAGACCCCGAGGCCACACTACTGCTGCTACAGATAAGATGGCATCAGGGTCCGCTCTTACACTGGCGAAGAGGAACCTGAGGACCGCCGTGAAGAAGACCTTGTCTACTATTTCTGCTGAGAGCCTCGCGGTTCAATGTAAGTAAATCTTTACACCGTTCTGATCCCCCTAGTTATCTACCCATATTTAGTTAACTGTGCATATGGTATAAAAACCAAGAGGGAAGATTAAGCTCTAATGGTTGTCACAAAGCTCAAATATGTACCGAGACGCTTTTGTCGCTCCCCGAGTTCCAATCCTCACGTCGGGTGAGCGTCTTTCTCTCTATGCCAGCCAAGGAGATAGATACTTCTCGGATTGTGGAAGATGGTCTCGAATGCGGTACGTAATCATATCACGATCCACTCGCTGGTGCCCCGGGATTTTACTTAATTCCCCATAGGTAAACAGCTATATGTACCTTATATACATCGTCAGCCCCCGAGCCAGCCGACTTCACCTGACCCCGTTTCAACTTCCCCTCCAAGTTTGATGGATATGTTGTCACTTCACTCGCTCGCTGACTATCAATCCTTCAAACCGGACAGCTGGGGGATACCTACAATTCCGAATGATTCGATAACTGCGAGGCACAATTGCTTGGAGCACGAGGAATTAGGGCTGGATCTAATAGTTATGCCTGGTGTTGCATTCGATGAGGGCTTCAGAAGGTTGGGGCACGGGAAGGGCTACTACGACTACTTTCTAGCTAGGTACAAACGGGTATTCAATGGAGATGGAGTCAAAAGAAAAGGAAAGATGCCAATACTAGGTTTTTTACACCCATATCACATGCAAGTCATACGCTTAGGATGCTGACCTGCGGCATCACAGTTGCCCTTGCGTTGAAAGAGCAATTATTTGAAGACGGGACTGTGCCGGTGGATGTCAGTGATTGGCCTATGGATTTAATCATTTCTGGAGACGGGAGAGTTCTGCGAAGATGAATGATATCATAGGATAAAGATTTCGGATTATGTTAGGCTATCACAAGAACTTGATGCTTAACTCACGATTAGGAGAACAATTTGTGTGCATTCAAAATCTCCTATTCAGGTAGTGATGAGTCACCCATGACCACAGTCAACATGCCAAGAAAGAAAAAGTGGACAACAAGGCCATTGTAAATTAAGGCAAAATTTAATGATGCTGGGTGCCTTTCGTATGGCAACCACCTGGAAAAAGATAAAATAACGTCAAGCTCACTCCAAAAAGATCTCGATTCTTCCATACTTAACCCCCACCAACAACCACTACCACCAACCCCGTTCCCACCGATAGTCCTGATAATCTTGAGCACCGCAATCTTTCGTTAATCAAATCTCTACACATACGCAGCATTTTCTCTCGCTAAATTCCACACGATGGCTTCGCCAAATGGGCCCTCTGATCAGTTTGCGCCCGTGCTCGCGGCTTTGGCGACCATGCAGGGCAACGTCGACCGGGAGCAAAAGTACCAAGCTACACAGTTCCTGGAGCACTTTCAAAAATCGGTTGGTTATAATTTGGAAATTCTTGCTTTTTAAAGTCGGGGGGAAAGAGGTGGGATGACGGGATCTCCGTGGCCGTTTCTTCCTTTGAGTGAGGCTCATTTCTTAGGATGATGGCGGGGTCATCTGAGGGGGGTGATGCGGGGTAACCCTGCAACAGGATGAGCACGATGAGCGGAGGGAAGGAAGGAAGGCGCTGACTGGAATTATTTTATAATATTAGCCCGAGGCATGGACTGTTGTGCACGCTATTTTACAGTCTGAGAACGCTGGTGTTGAGGCACAACTTTTTGCTGCGACAACATTGAAGGGAAAGGTTTGTTGGCTCGAGAGCACCTTGGTGACCGGGATCGACCGCGCTAATTATTTGTTCTCCATTCCCCAGATCACTTACGATATTCACCAACTACCACGGGATGCCCTGGTGGATCTAAGGAATTCCCTATTGAGCCTACTTGTTGCTCACCGGAACGGCTCACGCCCGATACGAACGCAATTGTGTGTCTGTTTAGCCAGTCTGGCCTTACAGTTGCTGGAGTGGAAGGACGTTATTGGTCTGGTAGTTAGCACACTGGGAAATGATGTGGAGAGCAGTGTGTGTTTATTGGAATTTTTGAAAATCCTCCCCGAAGAGGTTACTGAAGGGAGGAAGGTTAGCTTGACGGTACGTAGTTTGGGATGTTAATTCTTTTCTTTCCTCATTTGAGTTCGAGGATGAGAAATTGATGAAAGAAATTAGGAGGAGGAGCTTGAGACAAGATCTCGAGAACTACTCACGGATAACGCTACAGAAGTACTCAGGCTCCTTGTCCAATATGCGCAATCCACAGGTAATTTCCATTTCCCTTACATCCCCACTCCTTTACCACCAGTTCCAATTTACTAATTCTACTCCCACTACTACGGTTTAGCTGGATCTCCACCCAATCCTGCCCTAATATCGTGCGTAAACTCCTGGCTTCGTGAGATCCCGGTTCTTGATGTCATCGGAACCCAGCTCATTGATGTTATCATCTCTGCACTCTCCTCAAATGCAGCTCTCGACCCTGCTGTTGAGTGTCTTTGCAATATCTTTCGGGAGACACGGGAGGTTGATGCATCACAGGAAGCCATCCGGATCTTATACCCGCGGGTCATGAACCTGCGACCGAAGATCCGTGAAGCAGCTGAGGCGGAAGATCCGGAGAAATTCAGGGGGTACACTCGAATATTTGCAGAGGCTGGAGAAGCTTGGGTGGTTCTAATTGCACGCATGCCGATGGACTTCCGTGAATTGGTGTCAGCAATTGCTGAATGTGCTGCTCTGGACGCTGAACGCGATGTTATTTCACTAACCTTTAACTTCTGGTACGAGCTCAAGAACTATCTGGTGCTAGAAAAGTACATCGAGGCCAGGGTGAAGATAGCTGATATCTATTCGCAACTGGTTGATATCATGATTCGGCATCTTCATTACCCCGAAGGAAGTGAAGCAGACCCGTTCGACGGAGATAGGGAAACAGAAGAAAAGTTTAGGGAGTTTAGGCATTCCATGGGTGATGTTCTGAAGGATTGCTGCGAAGTTATTGGCTCGGCAGCATGTTTAGGCAAGGCTTACTCTGAAATTCAGACCTGGATGCAGCGTTATGCCACCACCGCCCAGAAGCCTGTCAATGGTCAAGTCGAGCACTGGCAGAGTTTGGAAGCACCCCTCTTCAGTTTGAGGGCGATGGGGAGGATGATTCCTGCGGATGAGGAGCAAGTGTTGCCCCAGATAATGACATCCTTGGTTCAGTTACCGGAACACGATAAGGTTCGATTCGCAGCAACATTGGTCTTGGGAAGATACACTGAATGGACATCAAAACATCCCGCATATCTGGAGCCTCAACTTAATTACATCACCAGAGGTTTCGAACATAACTCTAAGGATGTTGCGCGCGCCGCCGCCATGGCTCTAAAATTCTTCTGCCAAGATTGTGGAAAACTTCTCGTTGATCATGTGGGCCAACTACACAACTTTTACGAACAGGTTGCTGGTGATCTTCCTATCGCTAGTTTGTACGAAGTCACAGACGGAGTTGCCCATGTTGTTGCGGCCCAGCCGCTTGACAAGATATATGATGCTCTGAGGCTGTTTTGCGAGCCCATTGCAAAAAGGCTCATGGAAAAGGCAAATAGTGCCAATGACGACAAGGCTAAGTGTGAACTGGCTGGTACGCCCTATCAGGGACCCAATTTACTCTCTTTCGCGACTATAGCAACTAAGAATGACCCCATCCCAATAGATTACATCCAACTCTTGACAATCTTTGTTCAAGTTGTTCATCCGCACGTTCCCCGGGGAACATTGAATCCTATGATTCGCTTTTGGTCGGGACTTATCCCGGTGCTCGGGACGATTCTCGATAATTTCGTTGAATTCTCACCGGTCTGTGAGAGAGTCTCGAGATGTTATAGGACGATGCTTGTAAGCTATAGGACCGATATGTTACCACTCTTGCCTCAGTTGGCGGAGAAATTGGTTGCCTGCTTCCAGAAGTCTCATCAGGGCTGCTTTTTATGGGTTACCGGTGCAGTTATCAGAGAGTTCGCAGATGAAGAGCTTGTTGATGAAGCTACTAGGGCCTCGGTTTACCAGTTTCTAGAGCAACAATGTCTGAACATGTTCCGACTATTAAACACAAAGGCCGCTACCGAAATCCCTGATGGTTTGCTCCCTCCTGTTTTGATCACACACCCCTCCTTTCAATATCCAACCTGCTAACTGGAGCTAGTTATTGAGGACTTCTTCCGCCTTTTGGTGGATGGTGTCATGTTCCACCCCTATAAGCTGATACTTTCCAATTTGTTGCAGCCTATATTTGAGGCTTCTCTTCACTCTTTGAGCTTAGAGCAAGTCGACCCCCTTGTGGCCGTGTTGCAGTTCCTTCGCGATGTGCTAGCCTATGGCCGCTCTTCGCCGCCAACCAGCGCTTACCCAGACAATCCGAAGGAAGTTCAGGAGGCTGTGAAAGCTATGGCTCTGAGCAAGGGAGAGCTCATAACTCAGAAAATCTTGAGCGGGTTGATGTACTCTTTCCCAAGAGACTGTGTTCCGGATTCCTCGGGAGTCTTGTTGGCTCTGGTTGAGCTTTGTCCTGAACCTTGGCTGCAATGGATGAAGCACACTCTAGAGCTTCTACCGGCTGGAAGCATTTCTCCTGCCGAAGCCCAGAAGTTCTTGACCACGCTTGAGGGGTATGAAATATCCTCACTAATATCATCCGATTGTATGGGTGCTAATGATGAATACCCTAACCTAGTGCTGTCTCAACAAGAGATTTCAAGAAAATCCGATACTCCCTTCAGGATTTCACCAACTGGTACAGGCGTAAAAACGTGAGTTGATTACCTCCTCCTCTTTAGTATTGACACAGTTGCCCCCTAATTTCCGATATTAACCCTCCACCTTCCAACAGGTCACACCCAGAACCGCTATCACAGGAATTGAAGGTATCGAAGGCTCTCGTTTCTCATTCAGCGAATAAAAATCCTCTCCTCTCACTACCTACATCCCTAGCAAACGACGGAATGTCAATATCCTAGATAAAAAAGATGACCTTTCATCGACCAGATTTGCTACTTGCCTCAATCCGGTTGTGAAAACCCCATTTTTTATCAGCCTTCTTTCCTCTTCTCAATTTCTCTTTCCTGGTGGGGCTTACTGTTTATCTTTCTTTTTTATTCTATTTTCCTTACTCCCCGGCTCCTTTTTCCACCTTCTGCCGATCATCCCAGAAACTGGCTCCATTTCCTTTACCCATTCATTACCTTTATTAGTTTCTCGCTTTTTTTCTTTTCGTCTAGAATAGGGTAGAACGAATGATGGTGGAAAAACGAGAAAATTGAAAATATAATGATGAGCTTTCCTTCCTTTACGGTTCCGTAAGGCCTTGCTTATGGAGATGTACGAGTTTGGCTGATTGATATGACTTCCACGTAATTTAAAGCAGCAAGTTGCGACGGGAAGGCTCACCAATTTCAAAGCAGAATACCCAGTTGCTTTAAACACCGCTATTGTTTGTCAGATTCACGTGACATGTATACCAGGCTGCGCTCGTAAGCTTGAGAAATGCTGCAAGCAGTGGACTAGAAAGATGGGTTCTGCAAAGGACAAGTTACCGGACACGTTTTATAACTTGTATAGATGAAAGTGCCCCCCTAAAATAAAATCATTACAAAAATCAAAACAGGCCCTAGTAGGCTATGGTAGAAGCACTCGTACAGTAAAAAAAACTATAGGCAAACCCGGCACGCCAGGAACCAAGATAAACATGCGCAGATAACCAGACAAGCAAGCAAGAAAGCGCAATCCCATCCCATCTCATCCCATCATCCCATCCCATCCCATCCATCCTACTGCGGGGTAAGTTAGCCCAACCAGTCGACCCGCAACCAAACAATCAAGCAAGTACTGTACATAAATCCACCGAAAAAAAAAAAATTTCCATCCATCCCGCCCTTTCCGCGAGAGCAGCCTGTAAGGGTCCGAGCATGTCACACACACACCCGTACCGTAGTCTACCCCCCACGTAAGAAGCCGAACGAAAATACCAATACTCTACCGCCAAAATCCAGAGGCTCCGGAAAATCTTTTTCTTTTTTCTGCACCCATGCACACAAATATCTGAAAAATCACGATACGAGGAACGGTGAGATCCTATGGTAAGGTATTATCATAATGCGTAGTCTTACGAGTGGGTAGGTGATAGATACCCATAGAGAAATCGACCAAATCGATTATCGAAAATCCACTCACTCATCAAGTATCGTATCGTAGGGTAGGGTAGTCGGGTAGTCGAAAATGACAACTTCCCCCTTAATATACCGCACAAGAGACAAGAGCCCCTCCATATGAAGGGGGTATAGATATAACGAACCAGGTTGGGTTCGTCACTGCATTCCCGATAACTTTTATGGTATCATACTATGATACTTACCTGTGCTCCACGGCGAACGATATACCGGTAACAGTTCCGAACATGTCAAGTAGAGGATGTATATATACATTGTAATAAAATAGAGTTCATTCACTGGCAAAAGAAAAAAAGAAAAAAGAAAAAAAAAACTCGCCAGAAAGGAATCGTATATACGGTGGATTGAACAAAAGATTATCCAGGTCCGTTTTGCATAATGGATGGATAGAGTGGGATAGTTTTTTATTAGACTGGTGCTCGGAACCTGTACTTTATGTATGTATGTATGTATGTATGTATGTATGTATGTATGTATGTATGTATGTATACTTATGGACAGTTCATGCATCATAAGGTATTATTTGCTATCATACTGCCTTTTTTAAAAAATAAAATAAAAACTTAATTTTTAATTTTTAATTTTTTGGTGATATCTCAATGGCTTGAAAACACTTATTGGTTGTTTTCGGGTCCGTGACCTGCGGTTAGCTGCTATGATACCGGTGGGAGGGGTTTTTTTTTATATCAGATCAAGATCATACATACCGTACTGTGTACTGTACAGGGTACATATGATAGGAGGAACTGTGGTCAAAGTGAGGGAAGCAAGGGATCAAGTTTATTCAAGTCACGAGTAAGTTAACTTACCGTTGGTTGGAAATTTTCATTTCTTTCACTCTTGCTTTCCCGCGCTTTCCTTTCCATTCTCGTTTGACAGGTCGCGTCAAGTCATCTCGAATTGAGGGTGATACAAGGTCAAAGAAGAGCCAGAATCCGTTCATTGATTTGGGAGGCAGGTGTTGATTGGGGAGGTAGGTGGTAAATATCTAAGTACAGAGCACAATTATACAAGGAAGGTAAGAAGTATTATACAAGAAAGTCAACAGTAAAAAAAAAAAAATCTCCAGTAGAAAGCGAAACAAAAACAGCAAACAAGCATAAAGTTTTCGTGATTTTTTTTTTTTTTTTTTTGTTGCCGTTCCCGTTCTCAGATTGGAGATGGTAGATTTTTCCCGGTTCCACCGAACTCACCCTTTCTTTAGCCCAGCCGGGCAAATATATATAATACGTATATATATAGAAGAAAAAAAGAACACTTCTTTAGTTCCCCCTTAAAAAGACAAAAAACGAAAATTTGAACTCCAATTCCCCCAGCCCAGGCTTTAAAGACATGATGAAAAAGATAAAAGTTTTGTTTTCCCCACCGAAAAGAAAGAAGGCGACAGCAACACAAGAAAGTGTCAAGGAAAAAGTTATCCTATCCGTAACCATGAAAAGGAAAAAAAAAAGAAAAAAAGTTAAGAGAAGAGAATAGTTGGTAGAACAAGCTAATAGCCTACCCAAGAACCTACTAATGACTAAAGAATTCATACAAGAAACAACCCGTGACATAAGAAAAGAGTAAAAGAAACTAACGTACACTACTACCCAACGAAGTCGTCCTTTGGTCCTTCGGTGCAGGAGGAATTCTGATTGGTTCCATAGCAAGCTTTGACGAGTTGATCGCCTGAGGTGGCAGTGCTGTTACAATTGACAATGTACTCGGCGCAGGATCAGCAATGCTCGTGGGCTCCTCCACTAACGACACGATGGATGGTTTGGATAAATTCGTTGAAGTCGCAGGTCCCTCATTCGTAGTTTTTACACTCAACTTCTCATCACTCTTCTCGACAGGCTCTGTCTTGTGCTTCCTTTTACCATAGTCTTCCAAACTCATCTTTTTCGTCGTCCTTGTTGGGCTAGGATTGACCATGTTGCTATTCAGGGCAGACACCGACGGAGAGACATAGCTGGGGAATGTTGTCGAAGGAGGCTGGATTGTGGCTGAATTGGGAGCTGAAGGTAATGAACTTTGCAAGGCGGGTGTCAATGGTCCATTGACAGCTCCTGAGCCAGGTGGCAGCTGCACGTGTAAACTAGAGTTTCTATATCCGTTCACCCGAGGCTTGTCCAGTGGTAAATTCACCCGTATTTTATCAGAGGGCTGCTTCTCTTGAGTAGGACTAGACTGAGTTGATGACGGTTTATCCGAATCAGCAGAAAAAAGATCCGCCAACGCAGGACCGGGAGGTCGAGGCGACGAAGGTGATTTAGCGGCACTAGCACCAACCATGGTAGTGGGCATATCAGGCGTAATTAAGGCTTGATTCGATAGAGAACCAATATCCAGAGTAGGCAAAGTTGCCGTACGTAAGGGCTCGTGTAAAGATCCCTTTGCACGAAGGGAAGGTGAGATTGTTGTGCTTCGGGCAGACCCACTGTTAGAAAGTTTTGGCACTTTAGGAGAGGGTATATTTTCAGGGTCCTCAGAAACAGCATCATGCTTCCTTTTCTTGTCCTCTAACACAGTTGCGGCGGCTTCTTCTCTATCTCGAAGTAAACTCTGCATCAACAGCTTCCGAAGAGGTAATCGTGGCGGTCGAGGGGGCGCCTTCACGGCAGCCGGCGACCACCAAGGAATTCCTTCCTCGACAGGATCTGTTTGTATCGCCCTGTCCTCATACTGCGGTCGCGCAGGTCTTAAGACGGTCTTACTAACGTGCTTGAGCGTATTGGGCCCTTGGGTCAATTGAGCAACCGGAGAATAGGAAGAAGTCCGGCGGAGTATCCTCTCATCCGAACTGACAGGAGAATCTGATGCTCTTCTCCCAACACCGGCATCAGTTACGGAGTATTCCACAAAACCGTGATTTGGACCGGATCCTGTTGTAGGCGGTGAGTATGGCGATCTCGGGTTGGGGAACTTATTCCTCTTACTTGAATCGGGTACTTTTATCCAACCTTTCATATCGATACCCGGACTGTGCAAAGATGATGTGCCAGGGGTGAGCGAGACCGTACTGTTTCTCTTCCTCCGTTTTGCAACCTGAGGTTGCTGCTCCTCTTGCTGCTGCTTTTGTATTCGTGATAAGACCTCTTTGAATTTCCTAGCCTCACGTCCGGTCATCTCACCCTTCTCTACAGCAACATCCTGAGGCATTGACGGTGTAAGATCACGGCTTCTTGGCTTGCTTCGTGATAATGGCGGTGAAACAGATCGACTTTCTTCGTCTTCCTCCTTTTTTAATGGAACAGATTGACGGTCGGGGGTTGGTCGTTTAGAACCAACTGTCGACTCGGTGGATGCATTGGTCCTGCGTTGCTTACGTGAATTTCCGTTCCCATTGAGGGCTTTGCTAATAACCGTTTCGCCATCAGCCACTCCCTTGACAAGGCACTCTTTTTCCCCTAAGCAAGCGCAATCTCCCATCTTGTGGGTCAACTGCTGGACATCGGTACCGGTATATTTGTTCATGCTGTTACCCAAGTCAGTGAAACCTTCTCCGAGATATCTTGTCGGTTTCTCAGGGTCGGTATCACTTTCAGTTTCGCCGTTACGGGCAGACGGTGACTCAAGGGGGATATTTGCATTGGGGACATTGCAGACAGCATGATGGGTAATGGGAGGGCTAAGTCCAGCATTATTACTTGACTGGGCGGAGGCCCGGTGGCCTCTTTTCCGAGAGGGTTGCTGCATTTCTTTCCCGCCGACCGACTTGCCAGACACCTGCACACCAGTCTTCTCCGAGGACGATGAAACTTTTCCAGATGTGATGCCATTTGTACCGTTTGCGAGCTCCTTCTTTTTGTGAGATGTGCCAGTCGGTCGCTTCTTCTTGTGACTCCTTTTGGCCTGCTCCACTTCCCTTCGCTGCCGTTGGATATCTTTAGCCTTTTGAACGTCCAAAACGGCCAAAGAACATGGATCGCATCTAGGGCAGTAGTAGGTCTTGGGCAAATTTCCCCCGTTGAGTTGAACGCAGACAAGATGCTGCCAAGTATCACACTTGTCGCAACATATTGTGAATCCATCATCATCAGATATTTCGCAGATACAGTCGATTTCACCGGAGGTGTCTGCGACGTCTTCAGGGGTAGTTGACGAGTTTGCAAGCGAGGGAGGCTGCGAAGGACCAGGAGTCGATGGAATAGTAGGGTTCTCGGTCATTATCCTGCGTAAAAACAGCCTCTCTGCGGCTTCTTCTTCGGGGGGGGATTTGTCGTCTTCAGAAGTAATCTAGTTTGAGACTCATGTCGTAGAAGATGGCAGAGAGGGGGTTGGGAGGTGGCGAATTTTAAGGGAGAAATGTCGAGGTAACTGCCGACTGCGTCAGCATTGCCATATTGGGCGGAGTGCAAGTGTTTTCTTTTCCCTAGAGCAGTCCTCTTCCTCCTTGTGGAGAAAGGTAAAAAGGGGGGTGGAGGGCCGAACGAAACGAATAGGGAGCGAGGATAAAGCTGACCTTGTAAAAAGATTTTCGGAACCAAGGGTAAGGGGAATGGGCAGGCGTCTTGAGTTGACCAAAGGCCCCCCTTTACCGATTTTTTTCCTCTGGTTTACTGTTCGTGGAGATGAAGAGCGGAGGGTAAAGGAGCACGCGCGTGTTTGTTTCGACAGCGGACCCGACAAAGTCGATGCCGAACTAGGGTAAAATCGATGAACAAAGAATCCAGGGAAGCGATGAGAAGCAGATGTATTATGGTAGATGGGTTTTCGAGTCCAGTAGGGTTTACTCTTTGTTCAAGCGCCGGCACCAAATTCGGGGGTGTTTTTTTTTTTTCTTTCTCGACGGTGATGGAAACGATCAAGCAGGATGATTCGCCTTCTTCTATTTAATTTTTAATTCCTGGCGGGAGTCGATTGTTCTTGCGTGTTGGGTTGGATAGAAACACTATTTAAAGATGAGAAGGGTGTGGACGAGATGGCAGGCCGTTGAATGAGTGAACGAGGGAGAAAGGAGGAGATGTGAGCGGTGGTGGAGCAGGAAGGGGGTGGAGGAGGAAGTAGGAGTGGGTAATGGGTAATGGGAGACAGGTGAGCAAGGAGGGGGAGCAGTAGCAGGAGTACGACTTTGTGAAGAGAGCGAACAAGAGTGTGTGAAGAGGGAGGAGAAGAGTGAGAGTGAGAGGGAAAGAGAGTGAGAGCGCAGTTGTTGCAGCAGCAGCGGGAGCAGAAGCACCAAAGCAACGAGCGAGAGAGACGAGCACAGGAAGCAGCACCGAGCAGCAGCCAAGCAACAGCAGCGAATCTGGACAGAAGGGGACAAGGGCGGATGGGCAAAGTGAACCACGGCTGGCTGGGCGAACAGTGGGAAAGTGAGATTGAATGGTGAGCGAACGAAGACTTACCTCCAAATCAATATTCGGAAATCATCTAACCCTTTTTGGAAGGCGTAGCTGTAATAAAAAAAAAGGAATAAATTCTCGAAATTCCCCGTCTCCGCTATTTTATGTATGTACGGATGTGAGTAAGTCCAAATTTCCCCCCCCCAACACCAGAAAGTGAAGGGGGGAAGGAACATCGATCTCGAAGCTGTGCAGGGGCGGCATCCTAGCAAAGAGCTTTGGCTCGCTCTTCGAACGGCGTCTCTAACGCCAGACGAGAGAGGTATGATAAGTATGTAGCCTGTATAGATGGCTCTATCGAAGCCGAGTTAGTGGGGATGATAGAACAAGAAGTGTACGGGGTTGAATGAAAGGAAAGTGACGGGCAACAGAACAGAGGAAGCGATGGAGAGAGAAAACGGCGGTCAAAGTAACAGGAGAAAGGGGGGTGTCCTTCCAGAGTGATGCTTCACCCCCTCTGTTGGCCTTTGCGACAAAATTTCCCTGCCTCGGGCCTGTCGTGGCCCCGATTTGTCCTGTACCTTGTATGCATGCTCTCTGCGGAAAAGGGAAAGGGAGAAAAAAGGTGGTGTGGGGAACGAAAACAAATGAAAAAAATGGCAGTACGAGTGGAAAGGAAAAGGAAAAGGTAAAAAAAAAAGGAAAAATAATAATTGTATGGACCCCAAAAAATCAGAAGTTCGAACGGAAGACAGGCGCTTTCCTCCTTGTCGCCTTCCCTCCCAACTTCAAGATGAGCTAGAACAACCTGGGGAAAGAGCGCTGATTTCTGATTCAGGGAGAAAGGAATAAAAATAAATCGAAAAGACCACTCTCTCCCACCCACCATCTTTTTATTATATACCAAGCGTACTGAGTGCACCACCAGAGGGTACCGATAAACCCATCATCATCACCATAAGAGTCAGAGGTAAACAGGGATCTTGGTACTTGGCTCCTCCTCAACCTGAAAAGAAGCAAATAAAAAGAAAAAAGAAAGAAAGGAGTGAAATAAAATAGAAAAAGGAATGAAAAAAAAAAAAAGGACAGAAAAGGGAAGCAGCACTCTACCTTTGGCGCAACATCAAACTCAATGTATGGTTGGTGCGGGGTTTCGCATTCCAGCCAATTGTCGTGCCGCTTTCGTTCCCTTGGCTTTCCTCCATTCCTCCACACACACGGCCTCATGGTCTCGCTAAAGTCACCAGAGGACCAGTAAGCGGAGCAGAGCAGCGGTCACAATGGATCCCCCGAAAGCAAAACACCCGGCGAAGGTTTCTTTGCTTCCGCCCCGCCGGTTCAGCGTCCCGATTCAAATGATCTCACACTTTCGTGCCTACAGAAACCCTCCCAGTGATTCCATTGCTTATGGAGTTGATGATTGTGATGTTATCGACAAGGTAATCCGTGGATGATCGTAGAAACGAACCTTTCCTGTTGCAGCGAGAGAGAGGGGCTGAAGTTACAAGTGGTGAAAGCGTGCAAGGTGCTGTAGCTGAGCCCCCCCTCCCCTCAAACAGCAATCATCGAACCGCATCCGGCCTTGGAATAAAGGGGGGGGGCAAGGTCGGTCGATAAGGAGATGTGGCCTCCTTCTCCCTTGAAAAGTCTCAAAGCAAGGAACACCGTCGGTGTCTGGTACTGCGCAGCACAGTGCAAGCACGGTATCGAAAAATGTTCGAAAAAGTGTGCCCATTCTCGATTACCACGCCCTAGTATATGCTGTCATTCGGCAGCCCCTTGTGAGACCACTAGAGAGGCGTTCCATGCATGTTTTTGCAGGCATCTGAACCCCGTCAGTATTCCTGAGCACGCCCAGCCAAATCATCTCTTCTGTAATCACCTGGCATCACTCGGAATTTTATTCAATTTAGCGCGTCAACGGAATGCAAATGTTTTTTATTCCCGAGCCAATATGATGGAAACCTCTCCCCCCCCCACTATTAGGGATGACTTGCTGTATGATAACAGTGTGCCGTAGTCTACTCGAATATTCTACCGGTAACTTATGACCGTAGTGCACTGCACTCACCGTTCTTTTTGGTTTCGATTATTCATTCCTTGCTCATCCCAGTACTGTACTCGAGTAACAACCTACCGTATGTGATCTCCCATGTCGTGCCTGCAGCTCCCAGTCTTTCCGCCAGTTTCTGGATTGGGCTTAATGAGTCCTGATGGTGGGGAAGTTATCGATATCAAATCCTCTCTCTCCTTGGGTGCTCCCCTTTTTCCCCTTACAGCCACAAGCACCACCGACGACTCATGCACAAAGCCACAGTTGGACGATACGGTAGCAGGATAAGAAACTTTCTCCGCGAACGCGGGTACAGTAGCGTAAAATTCATTTACAAGTGAATCCTCACAAGGAAGTTGAGATTTAAACCGCCCCTCCACCACCTTCCCTTCCAGAACTAACTGGGAAGAAGGATGCTCCGAGATTTGGATCATTTCACCACCAACGTTCCGGAGTAAAAAAAAAAAAAGAAAATCGCAGGGGTCCGCAGTTTACATTAGCTAGGCACCTTGGTGTGCTTGTATCTTGCGTCGTCGTTTACCTCTCCGCCGCCTGTGCTTGGGAACGCCAGGCTATCATATTATGACCCCCAAATTACTAGCCTAGGACATCACACGGTGTCAGGTGGGTTCAAGTCGACATCGTTCAGCGCATGGACCAAGTCTACAGTACCGGTACCTGGCTTTTCCAAAAGCTTATATCACAGCCCAAGCACGACTTCCCACATGTAATTTTTCCCGATCTGCAACCAGGGTTAAGTGGGTTGAGGTACCAGTACCGGGGATTTCCATTATTCTTCTTGGGGTATGGGTGTTTTCGATGACCGTTTTTTATTTCGAGGCAATGTGCAAGTCATAATGTCGCACTCGGGCGAAGGCTCAAAGGCTCAGGGGCATCCATTCTCGGGGGTCTACAGGAGAAATGGCTGGGTGGCTCTTGGGGATAGGGAGAAAAGGAGGCTGCGTGTTGATTGGCCAGGGGGTGTACCCGTACTGTACAAGTACGGTACTGTGCTCGAGTAAACAAATTTTGTTTTTTTGTTTTTTGAAATTGCTTGTGCCAATGTTCCCGATGAGGTGGTCATGGGATCCATACAAAGTAATGGCATCCGACCGACACGCTGGAAGTGGCTCATCTTGTTGGACGCCAGCTTTCGACGAAGCTCCCTTCCTTCACCAGATTTAGAAGGGTCTCTCTGATCAGTTTCACCCCCACCCCTAATTTAAACTACGATACCAGTTCGCGCTGTATTGGGTTCCATTCTCTGTGGTCGTGCATTTCTGGCGGGGCTTATCGACATTTCACCCCTCACTTTGTTTCTTTCTCGCAGAAATGTTCCATCAGGCTAATAAGTGTTTGTGTCGTGCCGTGAGCAGGATACATGATCTATCTAGCACGACAAATTGATCACAGTGACGAGAATACTTTATGATATGAGGTAGGGGACGATCAGGATAAGAATATTGATATGACGTATATAATTTGTAACTAATATCACTTCCTACGCTAAGGGAAGAGAGTTGATATACGCCTTTCGGTACGCATTCTCGTCGACCAGAGGATCTCGGTTCAAGGGAGTCCATTTGGGCTAAATTTCCATATTAAAATGATGGGCGAAGATGAGAGGTGGCAAGAGGGAAGGAACTTACATCCTCCTGGAATAGTCGCATCGCTTTGATATACTATGCTCTCATTAGCATCAGCAGACCTCGAAAGCCAACAACTTGTTATAATGGTGGGCCATACGTTATTTTTATCGGTGGTGAACCTGTGGTAGATTCCTGCTGGGAGGATAATCAAATCACCTTTGGACAACCTGATCCTCACCCAACTGTCATCTTTGGATCGAACATCGAAAAAGCCCTCGCCGTCTAGGATATATCTTATTTCCTCATCCTCGTGTAGGTGCTCGTGGAAAAAGGCCTTCACTTTGTCTTCGTAGATATCACCTAAAGCGCTCGGGGATATTGTGACCTCATCACGGTTCTTATAGCCACGCTCAGCAGCAAGAGCGTTCACGTCATCAACGGAGTCGAAATGGTAAGCCAACACACCGATCTCATTGAGGGCGGCTTCGGAAACGACGGCTCCCGAGTCGTGGTCCTCGCGTTGATCCTCCTGCAAGGCGCAGGCGTAGTTAGAAGGGTTTGCTTTCCTGCACAGGATGCCTTTACTTCATCCCTTCGTAAGGGGGAAACCAACCGTGCTATTATCGTATTCGTAGACCTTCATGGTAGGATTGGTTGGGGGTGAAGTTTTGCAAGCGCTTTATGTTGGCTGTAGGACAGATACCGGGAATGGATGAGGTGGGGGTTGAGAAGAGGGGAAAGGCAAGGTTTTGCGAGGGGGGGCTTCGCACGTCCTCCTGGCCCCATTTTACTACCGGTAAGTTACCGGTACGAGTACTCATACGGTACATAGTACGTACTGGAACCTACATCCTATTCTTGTGCTGCTCTATCCTTTCGTCTGTGCCGAAATATACAGGCACTCTTAGCGCGATGATGGGTGAGATTATCACCTTAATTAGTTCGAACGTCACCCGTTAAAGGAATATGTTCACACAAAGTTGACCCAGCGAATCAACAAATTTCAAGTTCGCCAAGTTGAAGATAGACAGCAGATTCTACTTCTTGGGATGCCGAAAAAAAAAAAAAGAAAAACTGCTCCCGAAAAAGGTACCGATAAGGGATCCTATGTCTTCTGCTTTTTTTTTTTTTTTGGCCAATTGGTGCTGTAACACCCTTGCTTGCTGTTTCCCTTCTACTCGTACTTGCTACTGGCAACAGTACCCGAACAGAGGAACTGAACGGATGCGTGGCTAATTATCTTTGCGCATAAATACGAATTCTATGTATTTTAGTCTTCGGGCACGTCCTCCGTCTTTACTCGTACTCGTACAGCTCTGGTACTTGGCGACTCAATACCAAGGGAACTTATCACTTTTCTCCCTCTGCACCGCCCCTCAAGGGGTGCAGGAAACCTCCAACACTCCCGCTTTGGCATTCGGGCCCCTTATTTTCTTCTTCTGAGGTTTATCCCACTACCGCTCCTTTGTGTTGACCAGGATCTCAAAATGTTGGTGTCGTTTACATTACTTACGAGTACTTTTGTACTACCGTAAACTCTCGTTAAATCCACTATTGGGGAGTGGGGGACTTGGCATGCTAGCAAGGGTATGCGCAATATGCCAAGAGGATGAGTGATTGTCCATGGTATGGAAATTAAGCCTTCTGAATGTCATTTTGAACTGCAAAATACTCTTGATGGGAGCATCTCATTCTCAATGCTTTGGAACTGGAGAAATCTGGATAACTAGGATTTCTAGCTTCTGGTTATAGTGCTAAGTACTCTATAGCTAATGTGAAGGTGTTGGCATAGCCCTTTACCCCCCCAGAGTGTAGTACTGGACCTGCAAATCTAAGACTTTATGGTATTAGTTGTTTATCATTCAAGTACTGTGTGTACAAATTCAATAGAAGCATTCTCCATATACCTTGTATCTCCTACATCTGCCAATTCATCAAGTGCACTCAAGTCTTGACTCCAATCCCCAATCTATATATTCTCAAACTCTGTAATATCTAACCTGTAATCTAAACTACAGTTTATAGGAAGTGAAAAGCCAACATTACAAAAAGAAGAATGAATAATCTCGGCCTTTTGTGTATAAAATTGGCGATATGCATTGCCAATACACTCAGTAGTTATAATACGGCGGTGCTCAACAGTCCATTTCTCAAAAGCCTCTATAGATTTTGATTCAAATATTTTCTGATCCATAAAATCATGAAGAATTTCCTTAAAGGGCTTGTTGACGAATATGTTCAAGGGTTAGATAAGGCTAGTACATCCGGTAGGGATTAGGGAGGGACTTATATTATTTCACTGTAGAACTTCGAGAACCACTAGGGTCCTGTATAAGCCTATTAATTTAAAAGTGAAAAGAGTAGGCAGACTACTAAGTACCAGGGAAAGAGATAGCTTGTAATATAGTTTTCAAAAAACATATTATTCATATATGATGTAGGGCTAAATTCTACTAATACTGTAATGATCCCCCTTTGGATAGTTAGTTCTTGGGGACGGGGAATGATACTTCTCTCTTCTGTTTTCTTATTTCTTCGTGTTAGGATAGCACCAGGCCTCTGCCTACGTTACCGATAGTACAAGACCTCTGTCTTCTATCGGGAATGCCTATCGTAAGCTTTCTCTAATACTTCTTTATAAAGAGCTTTTCTTGTCGTAACAATAACGTTGCAATAAAGATAAAGATTGTAAAGGTGTTTTAGATTCATTAAAGTAATAAGTAGGAAAAGTACTTAGAACAAAGCGTGAAGAACCTATCTTCCTCGGCCGCATCGGTCTTGTCACGAACGTGGCTTAGCGAGGAAAGGATTTTCACGTGACACATGGTTATAAGTCACAGGTATGTTATTGTTTCACGCATATAACCTATTCGGGTTATATGATTAGTTATGTGTGGGATTTGTGATGTTTTCGCACATGGCTCAAGTATGAGTCATGGGACATTGTAACGATCCCTTTTCCTATAGTTAGTTCTTGGCGACGGGGAACGATACTTACCTCTTTTTCTTCTTCTTTCCCTTATCTTACGATAGCTCTAGGCCTTTGCCTATGTTACCGATAGTACAAGACCTTTGTCTTCTATCGGAAACACCTATCGTAAGCTTTCTCTAACTTGTCTTCGTAACGAATGCTTCTTGGCGTAATAATAAGGTTGCAATAAGGATAAAGATCGTAAGGGTGTTTTATATTCGTTAAAGTAATATGTAGGAAAAGTACTTAGAACAAAGCGTGAAGAACCTATCTTCCTCGGCGGCATCGGCCTCCTTATATAGTGTTCTTCCCGCCTTTAATCATGTGACCTAAAATGGTCACATGTGCGAAACCAAATCAAAACAAACTAATCATGTGACCAAAGTGATCACATGCTCAAAACCCATGACCTTATAGTAAGGTCATGTGCAAAACTCATAAACCAATTATAACGCAATAAACAAGTCATATGACTCGACTGAGTCATATGCACGAAACCCATGACATCATAATAAGGTCATGTGCGAAACATAAATCATATGCGCAAGGCTTGCCCGTAAGGCATACTCGTAAGGCATACTCGTCAGACACATGTCCCATGACTCATACTCGAGCCATGTGCGAAAGCATCACAAATCCGTCACATAACTAATCATACAATCCGAATAGGTTATATGCGTGAAACAATAACATACCTGTGACTCATAACCATGTGTCACGTGAAAACCCTTTCCTGACTAAGTCACATCCGTGACAATGATGAAATTAAGATTCCATATGTGGAATCTCTACTCAGAGGACTCGCGGGACAATGGATCATGCCCTTCCAAGATGGAAGGAAACAGAGGGAATGGGTCACCTACGAAGAGTTCAAGGCGACACTCTTTGAACAATTGGGAGGCCCCAACGCCAAAGAAACAGCAAGACGAAAGCTAGAAAAACTCAAGCAAGGAAAACAAATGTTCTCAGCATACTGGAACGAATGTCGACTGTTGGAATACGAGGCCGAGTTTGATGACGCGACTCTCTACATCATCCTCCTGAGAAACTGCAGTGAGAGACTCCGAGAGGCATGGGGAATCTCTGATCTGCGCTATACGACAGCCGAACGATTTGCAAGATGGGCAATTGACAAAGAAAGCAAATTAAACATGGTGCGCAGCAACTCGGAAAATACTATAGCACATAGGGTGGTCCAATCATCCAGGAATGTGGACGGGACCTTCAAACTGCAAGCACCTCGAGGAGAAAGTCGAGCATTACCACCAGGCGAACCAATGGAATTGGACAAATCAAGAGCAGGGCCTGCTCTGAATCTGTCTAAGGAAGAATACGCCAGAAGAATGAATGGGAAACTATGCCTAAGGTGTGGAAAAGCAGGGCATCAGATACGAGAATGCAGAAGCTGACTGGACAATGGATACCAGGAAAACAGAGCTACTGGAAATAATCGTTTCCAAAATCAGAAAAGAAGCAACATCCGCGAAATGATAGCAGAGGATTCACCGGCGGAAAACGAAGAGGGTTCCCAGTAAACGGTAGTCTGGGAGACCCAAGATGTGGACCTGGAAAACCCATCAAATTAGCGAACTACTACACTGCACTACACACGCAAAGAGGAGAAGGAGATGGAGATCATGTGATGATCAAAATGAAGATATACAACAGAGAAAGAGAAGAAACAACAATATATGCAATGCTCGACTTGGGGGCCACTGAAGATTTTATCGACAAAGAAATATGCGACAAATACGGCCTCCACACCAAACAAGCAAAGAAAGCAAGACAAGTCTACCTAGCGGATGGAAAGCCAAGCGCTATAGGTCCTATAACCCATATGGCGACAGTACCTATGGACATTGACAGCCATAGGGAAACGGCAACCTTTCAAGTGGCAGATCTAAAGAACCATGAGATAGTCCTAGGGATGCCATGGTTACGGAAGCATAATCCAACGATCGATTGGAACGAGAACAAGAAGACGTTTACAGGTGAACTATGTGTGACACAATGTCTCAACAGTTCACCTGTAGTCTACTCCACACCAATACGAGAAGCGGAAGAAGAAACTTTGCATGCAAAGTTTGCTGAGATGCGGCAAGACAAGAGGGTCCGGATACAAAGACTGGACCAAGAGGCAAAAATGCCTACCAAGGGTTCCAAAGGGGCAGTAGGACACGACCTATATATCAACGAAGGAATCAAGATACCAGCCAACGGGCAGGCAACGATAGCAACGGGAATAGCCATTGGACTCCCAGATGGCACCTATGGACGAATAGCACCCCGCAGTGGTCTAGCAGTCAAATACCGACTCATGACCATGGCAGGAGTGATCGACGTCGACTATACCAGTAAAATCAAAGTGGTCCTGGCCAACGTAGCTCAAGAAGACTACCAAGTCAAGAAAGGCGATCGAATCGCACAGTTGATAATCAAAAAAATCAACAAAGAAGATCTACATGAAGTAGATCAACTGGAAGAAACCATAAGAGGAAACAAGGGATTTGGAAGTACGGACCAAAACTAGCTCGATACAACAAAAAGAGTTGAGATCAAAGAGATCACAGTTCAAGCCTTTGGACGATATTATCAAAGAGGAGATACAACAGGAATTCTCAAATGGACATACGAAGACGAGAAAGCAGTTCTAACAAAAATCAACATTAGCACAGAGCTAGCAATCCAGGACAAGAAATACCAAAGCAAAAAAGGATGGAAAGAATTAGTTCCAAAAGAATATCACCAATTCACAAATCTATTCCAAGAAGAGGAAGCTACGGAGCTACCACCTCGAAGACCAGG